GTAAAGGTAATGTCGGGAGAAAAAGTGATACCACGTCCCTGCTTTTTAGTAGTATATACTCATTATTGATATGAAGCTGAATAAGGTCACATATTTTTTTAAAAACAAAGAACAGACAAATATATTTATCTTACGTGTATGAAAGAGAAAATATTCCCAACGACGACAGCTATGTCATCCCCTGTCCTTTTGACAATCACATATAATCTGTATTTAGTATTTGTGGCCATGGTAGTCGGGTCTGTTATTATGCTTCTAAAATAATGTACATTGCACATGTATTTATAATTATGACGTGAAGCGGTCACCCATCCAAAGGTTACACAGGCTCGCCGTTGCTGAAAACCTACATGTAGCAATTTTAAGGCAGTATAAGTTGCATATACAGTGTACTTCCCCCTCCCCCCCCCCCCCCCCGGCTTAGGGAAGCTTCGAACCTAAGCTTAGCATGAGTTCTCCCTAAGTGTCTGGACCTCTTCAGTACCGGCAAATAATGTCGTCCACGAATACAAAGTCTGTACCTGGACACAAAGTCCTAACCTTAGAGCTTCTTGATGCTAGCTCTAAGACTTCCTGAAGCAAAGTCGCAAAACAACACGCTTCCATCAATTTTGTCATGTTTGTGAATGAAGCCCGTTATGCTTAAATTATCCCATGTTTCCCACTATTGTTGATGTCCCTGACATACCCTCCTAACTAGACAGTGATTCCTTATATTTCCATTTCATTGTGAAATAAAATTGTAGATTTAGACTTTAAAAATGCAGACATGGATTTAAATTGCACGATGATTCCCATCTGTCTATTTTTAAAACAGGAAGTCTTATTTACCTCCTAAATAGGAGAGTCTCATTGTATCGCGGTATGGGAAAACATAGAAACTTGTCGATGACATGGACCTAAATTTTTATTTTTGAATTTACGATGTAATTCTACAGGAAAAGTAAACAATATATACCAACTTCAAACCTTTAAAAGATGAACTATACTATAATTTTTACTAGGTTATAAATTTGTTGGTTAAAAATAATAACAACGTGACTGGAAATCTTTAAAAATTACGTTTTTTAAAATATTTTTTTTTCAAACGGATGTTCCATACTTCTTAATCATCAAAAAAGTAAACATTCAGACAACATAAATGTACTGTCCATCAATAAAAAGAATACAAGCTATGTATCCAAATTTTTGCGACATACCGCGATACAACGAAACCCGCGATATAATGAGAATCGAGTATATATCGTAAATGCACAAATTGTAATGAAGACCATTAATGTTACATGTATATAGCCAATTGTACATAATGAGAATTTCGGCAATGTAAAATAAAATTTTCAGAATAAAAAAAAAATGCTGCGCTTTGATCAAAAATACAATTTATTGTATATGAAATGAAATTAAATAAACATTAAGGGATGGTATTTCATGTCTTGCTTTTTACGGAGTTTAATCGGGTTAATTAAAAAATACTTATTGATTGAATATGGTACGCGCAATCAAAGCCAAGCCCCATATCCCAATTTTCTTTCATGATTGATATACATCGGGATCGTTTTACTCGTCGTTTTGACGCTTTATTTTTGACGTTAAATTTGACGTCACGTCAAACGTTCAATTGAAATCGCAAGAGTTATCTCCCCCAGTGTGTTGTACGTCTTTAAACCCCACTCCCTTTACAAATTAGGATTTTCGGGTTCCGAGATTTATTTTCCTTTCTTTTTTCAAAATTTTCAGGTAATCCATACAAGTATTTTTTTCCCTCAGGTTGATCAACCTCCCATTAAAAAAAACATACTCCACCCTGTATACTACCGATTTATTTAAGAATATGTATATGTAAAACGGACATTATAATAAGTCTTTTCCTCTTCAGCCTCCCCTTTGAAAAATGTCTAGATCCGCCCCTGCAAATTAGGAGCGTTTCAAAACACGGACCTCCAAAACATCAGAGGTGGGGTCAGGTGCCATGGAGGAATTAGCATCCCCTGCTGACCGGTCACATCCGCCCATTGCTCCTTTTCATAATCGGGAAATAATGGAAATAAAACCGTAGACAACACAGTGTGTAAATAATGGCCTAATAAATAACAATCAGTATGATAAAAGTCAGTCAACATTTTACTCAATGATAAATTGTATTTCTTGACAAGGTCATTGTATCGACCGTAGAACTTACGAAATGATGCCTTTAAGGATTTCCATCCCTAATGGGACCAAATTCCCTACCCGTCAAGTAAATAATACTCTGATATTATATTAAAGCATTTTACACTAGAAAAGGATTGACCGCGAGAAAGTTTAAAAAATGTCATTAATTAAGCAGTAGTTAATTAACAAAGATTGCACTGAAGTCTATGGGGAAAAGTGTTTTTTTCAAAATAAAAATTCAAAAAATTTGAATATCAATAAATCCTGCGGTGGAAAAATGCATTGAAAAATTAAAAATGGAATGACAATTAAAAATAATTTTTTTACCAGCTATTTTTTTTTAATTGATTTTTTTTATTAATTAAAAAAAGGAAAGATAACTCTTACCAAAATTCAAGGTCATAAATTAGGACACATCCCACTATTCATACTAATAGTTATATATGGGAAGTATGTCTAAATAAACTGAGTTTTCAATGCCTACATATCTGTTATGTATTCAATTTCATTGAATTTTGTTCCTCTTAGGGATTGAATACCTTCAGCGAGAGTGCTGATATTATTGCTTCATCAACTTGTTTTTCAATAATTTTATTAATTTACCTCGTTTTATAAATTTTACATACTCAAGTACGTAGAACATGCTCTTGCGCATCGAATCAACGGAGAGATATAAACCCCGTATGCAGGTAATGAAGGTATATTAAGGGAAGTTGACGATTGAAAAGTTAAAGTCATCACGTTGTTGAAAGATAACCATTAACGTCTTTTTCTAGTAAAAGATCCAAATTATGAAACAGATATGAATTCTTTTTAGGAACACGTAAAAAGACCGTTAAATTTTCAGAAACTAACATTACTAATAATTTTAAGCTAGTACATGTATTGTTTATTGCGTGGTAGAATCAGGGTTTCCATAAGCAGGGTTTCCACACTTGTTTAAATATCTAGCGTTTGGTTTGGATTTTACGGTGGTATATTTAGGACACGCAATTATTTTTGTTTAAATACCAGAAAAAAATTATCTTGTGAAAACGACGTTATGATAATTATCTTGTGAAAACGAGATATTATCTTTTGAAAACGACTTATTATCTTGTGAAAACGAAATATTATCTTGTGAAAACGAGATATTATCTTGTGAAAACGGAATATTATCTCGTGAAAACGAGATATTTTCTTGTGAAAACGGAATAATTATCTTGTGAAAACGAGATATTATCTTGTGTCAACGACTTATTATCTTTTGAAAACGACATATCGACGCTGTGGAAATGAACGGTCGTAATGGGCATTTTGGTACTTTACAGGAGGCAGTAAAAACTGTTTTTCACAGAATATATTACATGACTGTTGACATAAAGTTAAAGGATGTTTTATTTTCGTTTTAGGACCCAAGAAAGTACATTTTTAATCCAATTAATACATGAAAATAATTAATACACGCAGATATTTTGCAGACATGACCTTTAATTAAGGAATGAAGATTATTTCAACTTTTGTTATACAATATACATGTAACATAACTTGGGGCAGTTTATGCTTTATAAACCGCAAAATGTGAATTTCATGGCCTCTGGTTTAAAACACGAACCAAATTCAATATTTGGAAAGTTGTTACATGATATACTCAGGTGACCTATAAGGCCCTTAGGCCTCTAGTACTTGAATGAAATACGATCGGAAATTTTTAAATTTAAGAATACAATGTACATGCATTTTTCGCTTTAGCATCCGTTAACGTTGAATAAAGAACAGAGATGTCCCAATTACATCATTGTATTGTGGAACATTTACATGTAGATGTAATTTCAAGCATTCCTTAATGATACATGTATCATCTAGCTCTTGTATACTCTTCATCCATGTGCCTATTTGACAAAGAATAGCAAAATACTATAAGGTACTGTAGTTAAATGTATTGTAACATATTTTAAACCCGAAAAAATATGACCTTTTTACAAGATAATATCTCGTTTTCACAAGATAATATCTCGTTTTCACAAGATAATAAGTCGTTTTCACAAGATAATATCTCGTTTTCACAAGATAATAAGTCGTTTTCACAAGATCATATCTCGTTTTCACAAGATAATTATGTCGTCTTCACAAGATAATTTTTTTTCTGGTATTTAAAAAAAAAATAATTGCGTGTCCTAAATATACCACCGTAGGATTTTCAGAAACCAATGTTATTAAAACGTTTGCTGTAATCTTCCGGATACTTGAAACATGTAAATGTACGGTGGCATATTTAGGACACGCAATTATTTTTTTTTAAATACCAGAAAAAAATTATCTTGTGAAAACGAGATAATTATATTGTGAAAACGAGATATTATCTTTTGAAAATGACTTATTATCTTGTGAAAACGAAATATTATCTTGTGAAAACGAGATATTATCTTGTGAAAACGACATAATTATCTTGTGAAAACGAGATATTATCTTGTGAAAACGACTTATTATCTTGTGAAAACGACTTATTATAGTATGTCGTTTTCACAAGATAATAAGTGGTTTCACAAGATAATATCTCGTTTTCACAAGATAATTTCTCGTTTTCACAAGATAATATCTCGTTTTCACAAGATAATATCTCGTTTTCACAAGATAATAAGTCGTTTTCACAAGATAATTTCTCGTTTTCACAAGATAATTATGTCGTTTTCACAAGATAATATCTCGTTTTCACAAGATAATATCTCGTTTTCACAAGATAATATCTCGTTTTCACAAGATAATATCTCGTTTTCACAAGATAATTATGTCGTTTTCACAAGATAATATCTCGTTTTCACAAGATAATAAGTCGTTTTCACAAGATAATTATGTCGTTTTCACAAGATAATTTTTTTCTGGTATTTAAAAAAAAATAAATGCGTGTCCTAAATATACCACCGTATAAATGGCTTTGTACAGGATGATATATTCATTTCCTTGCATTGCTGTTATACAAAAAGATTTTAATTCCGCTGTCAGTAAAATATGAGTTTTAGTTAGCAGACAAAGACTGGCATATCTTATGATATGATAGGGAAGTTTTCATTCATATAGCAATGTTTATCGGTCTGAGATGAATAAAACTACATGTTTCACGATTTAACAACAGAAACAAGTCTTTCCCAAAATTTTTCCTGCAACGAAACGTCATCAATCCACTCAATAAAAGTGGTTGTTTTCATCAATACATGTAGGGAATTACTCATGTTTTTAGTCAGAATTTCTTCCAACACAACTACTATCACCAAAGCATTATCTTCATACAGCGACTGTGCCAATAAGATTTCAAACCGACACCAGTGGTTTTGCACAAAGTTGTTGGATAAAATGATGAGTATTTTACGGCTATTGCGGATGCAGTCAGTTATATTATCTACAGTGAATTTACCAGGTTCAAAATCCCTGTCATGCAAACAAAGTTTCAAATTTTCTCTCTTTTCTAGCCTTGGTATCATTTCTGAAATGACCCATACACGATCCTTAGAATTGTACGCAACAAAAGCATCGTACAGGAAATGATGACCCTCAAGGTTTTGGTATCCCCTCCTCTTGGCTCTGAGGAGATACAGGTAGTATTTGATGTTCCAGCGATTGCGATACAGAATTATCGTCGAAGAAACGATGATCAGAGTTCCTACTCCTACACCGATTGCTATAATAATATAAGGGTTCAGGGGATGGCAGAACGAATAAGACAAATGAAAGCTTTTCAATTTCTTTCCTTCCCAATTCTTTGGTGATGAACAGACATATCCATTTGGCCAACCTATAAGCTTTTGATGATTTTTTATAATCCAGTTCCGAAACCATTCCAGATCACAATTACACTGGAAAGGATTATTTCTAAGGCCAATATTTTCGGCATATGATGGTAATGACGTATCGTTGATCGTAGAAATGAGATTACCATCTAACTGTAATCTCTTTATTCTTGCTTTAGCGAATGCATGCAGATGAGCTTGGTGAAACTTGCAATTTTGTAAAGAGAGATGAGCCAATTCTGGCAGCCATGAAAACAGACCACTCGGAAATGTGGATAAAGATGTCCAATCTAACAGCATTGTCTGAATCTTCCTGAGTGGCTTTAATAAATTGAAAATCTTTTTATTTGTCTTACTTCTCACATAAAGGTTTACGCTGGTGAGATCTAGTTCTTCAAGGTTTGGACAATAGTAAAATAAAAGCGAATCTTCATTGTCTGTGAAAAAGTTTACATTATTGGCCAAGGTCACACTACGCAGGGATGTACTATTAAAAACAGAAACAGCAACAGTAACATGAAGGTCTAGAGAATCGATTGACAGATTTAAAAGAGACGGTAAACGGTTTATAAGATTGGCTCCCAAAGTCTTAATTTTGTTGTGCCCAAGTTTCAATGATTTGAGGTTAGGTAAGCATTGTCCACGAAACTGCCGACTTTTTACAACAATCAAAAGGTTAAAGCTTAGATCAAGGGACTCAAGGTTTGGAACACACGATTGTTTGTATTCAAAATCACAACAGAATACTGGCACGTCTGGTATTTTATTCTTCTTTAAAACTAATGTTTTAAGATAACGAAAAGTTCTATTAAAATGAACCTCTTTAATTCTGTTATTTTCAAGAGAAACTCCCTGCAACTTCGTAAGATGGGAAAATAGGAAACCATTAAAACTTTTTAATTTATTGCCATCCAGAGAAATGAATTTCAAACTTGTATTCCTCAAATACTCTACATCCTCTTCATGTACGTTATAAATATTCACTTGTACTAAGTAGATTTCTTGTATTGGACTAGTTTGTAATCCATAGAATACAGTTTTTAGATTAATTCTGTGGGGTCCCCCGTTTTCACACAGGTCTAAGATTTGGAGACGTGGAAGCAGTTCGAAGGCACATTTATCGACTTTGTGGATTGCATTTCTTATTAAAACGAGCTTTGTTAGATGTAAGGACGAGATATTCATAAAGACGTCACCGGCTCTAAAGTCCTCAGATAATTCTCTTTGAACAGAAGAGTGGTGGTGTCCTCGGGCAGAGGAGGAATATACTGTAGCTTTTTGTGATGTCCTTCACAGATTGTTGTGTGGTTTGTGAAACACTTACAATATCGAGGGCATTTTGTCTTTAATACCTTATGAGGAACCACAAAAAATACCGATATCCATAATATTCCAAAAAGATTCATTTTTAAATGAGTGAAAAATAAATCGTGATATTCTTATTATCATATGTTTTGCAATGAATTTATATTTCCTGAAATTAAAACTTTTTTTCCGCAATGCCAGGAAATAAAGTGGAGTACCTGTTAAAAGTACGTTTTTATGAAGTTTCCTTATTCATCCTTCATTAAATCAGCGTAAACAGGCTTTTTCCTCTTATTTTAAATTATATAATCCCATACTCAATTATTAGGTAAGAGATTTTATTATGTGAAAACTATGTAAAGTCAAGTGCCCGGGATCTTTTTCCTTGAAGCAATACTTCAGCAACCTGACCTCTTCTACTGCTAGCCTCTGAAAGTTGCTATCTAGACCATATGTTTTATTATATCAAAAATATAATCACAGAGAGAGAGAGAGAGAGAGAGAGAGAGAGAGAGAGAGAGAGAGAGAGAGAGAGAGAGAGAGAGAGAGAGAGAGAGTTTGTATCAATAGAATATCTTATTTACATGATTTACCTGATTTATGAAATTAATTTTATAGGATTTTTTGAGGGAGTAGAGTTAAGAGATCGCACGAGAAAACAAAAGATAGTCAGAAAATGTTCAGCAATTTAACTTACTTGCATTTTATTTTTATTCAGAGCAACAATTGTTCGTCACCAATCGTGATTGATAGATCTAGAAAAATAAATTGAATTTACCTGCAATACCTACCCTTCAGGTTTAAGGGTTAGAAGATTAATTATCAATGTTCAACTTTTTGTGAAGATTTTTTTTAAGTTTTAGGTAACTTTTACACTTTTACATTTGATGTTTTAATTGTACATTGAATATTCTTTGCATTTTACTTAAAATCTTTACATATATGTATGCATGAAACATATGTAGATAACAAAAGTTTTCAAGATCATAAGCACATAAAACAATAAAAATTAGGAGCCGAGGAAACACGGACCTCCAAAACATCAAAGGTGGGATCCAGTGCCATGAAGGAGTGAGCATCCCCTGACAACCGGTCACACCCACCGTGTGCTCCTTGTCATGATCGGGAAATAACAAAAAAAAATCTTCAATTCAGTGTATAATTGACTAACAATTAGTATGAAAAATCATCAACTTGTTTTTCAATAATTTACTGCGTTTTAGAAATTGTCCATGCGTAGAGCATGCTCTTGTGTATCGAATCAAGTGAGACATATAAACCCCATATGCAGGTTACGAAGGTACTATAGTATATTGTTGCATAAGTAAGGGAAGTTGACAACAGAAAAGTTAAAGTCATCACGTTTATCAAAAGCTTGGTTGTATGATTACCATTAGATTACCATAAAAGTCTTTTTGAAGTAAAATATCCATATATGAAACAGATGTCAGACTCTGTGGTATCTTTTATCCTAACCTGACCAGGATATATCGTATCGACATAAGAATGGAAATTACCATTGTTAATTGACAATACGTCGTCGATATATCTAAATGTCGAGTTGAAGACCACAACAAGTGTTTTCTTCTTTTCACGCATAAGATTTTGCACAAATTCTGCTTCATATGAATACGAAAAATTTAATAGGTCTGGTAATAACGGGGCGCAATTGGTATCCATGGGAATTCGAATAGATTGTTGAAAAACCAGGTCTAACAACAAAGATATTGTCAATCAGAAATTCAAGCATCTTTTAAATGTCTAATTAGGAATATTGTGTGTACAATCAGAATATTTTTTTTAACAAAACAATTTTGCAAATGACCAATGACAAGGTTAGTTAATATACGAGTTCCATTTTTATTGAAAAAAAAAAACCCAGGTGTCAATGATGTAAAAAAAAAAACCTGGACTTTAATTATCATTTAAGCTTACCTAGAAAGAATTTTAATTTCGCAGAGATATGAAATATGGAAATAAAAAACAGTAACCAAGCTAAGAAATCTATTGATACAATACAACTGAGGAACTGAAGAAACGCCGACCTCTAAAAACACCAGAGGTGGGATCATTTGCCTTGGAGGCGCAAGCATCCCTATCGATAGGTCATAATAAATCCACCCTTATTTTAGACAAACATATTAGGGTTTTTTGTTTTATGAAAAACATAACAAAGCCTTTGAGGAAAAGGCTTAGTTATACCGTGTTAAATTGTCAAATATGTGTTTTCACAGGTCCCGACACTGAGGAACACCCTTTTCAAGTTCAAGTTCAAGTTCAAGTTCATTTATTCGCTCAACACCATATTAAATACATGGTACATGAGGACAAAGATAAATATTTACAACATGTATATATAATATATATAATCAGGTCAGAGGTATAAGTATATGATATACACAATCAGAAAATGAGATGGGAGAAAAATGGAAAAAGAAAATGAAGAAAAAATAAATAAATAAATAAAACATGTAATAATGAAATAAATAAGGGGAAGAAATTATGGAGGACAGACTAAATCGTATATTTTTGATATAAACATACAAAGTTTTTTAAGCGACATAGCATCTTGTTTTGTCATCAGTTGAGAAAATTTCAGAATATTAGGTCTAGTATAGTAGTACTCATTAATATATTTTTTCCTGATTTTTGACATTGCATTACATTCAAGTATGAAATGAAATTCATCGGCAACATGTTTTGCATCACAGAGTGTACATAATCTTTCATTTAATGGTATACCAGTCCATCTTCCCAGCTCAACTGGTAGACGGTGATTAGTAGTACGGAATTTGACAAGTATTTTTCAAAAATGCTATCATTATTTGGTATTAAACTAATCGGAGATTTAAAAGTTGCTTAATGAAATTGTTTCAGCACAATTGAATGTATTGTATATAATGTGATGCTACTTTTACAAATACCTCTATTTAGTTGTAGAGTCTTCAACAACAACAAAACCAGTAATATGTTACATTATTTCTACCTTTTATACTTGCACCAAAGACACTTGACGTTACATAATTTTCTTATTAAAGAAAATAACCCATACCTGATTATTAGGAATGGAATTATGTTTTATTCATAAGAAATACTAGTATATGTAATGCCAAGTGTCTATGAGTTGCACTAATAAATTGCATACGTTATTTACAACAGTTTCATAATCGCAATTGAATTCTTACATGCATGTCAAATGAAAACCAAGGGAATTTTCTGGTGCATTGTTCTCCCACTTTTTAAAAAATTGTTTCTTAATTATTATTTTTTTCAAAATGAAATCTTGTATCAACTAACGCCAATTAAAATTGATCGGATTTCCAGAAAGAAATACATTTTTCAAAGAAATAAGATGGCCATATTCTACTAAAAAATTCTTCCTGTTTGCTAGTGCTCTTAACATTTGTTAAGCATGCGGATGAAACGTGATCAATTCTATGAAAAAAAATACGTTAATAAATAAAAATTAATAATTGTTTTACATATTTATGGTTTGATTTGTCACTGAAACAAATAAGATAATATCCAGTATTTAGTATACATGTAGAGATTTTGTTACGAGTTATACACTACGCACTTTACAAAATCTTGTAAAAGAAAAGACAGATCAAGATTTTATCATTTCATTATCCACTGTTTACACTTTAGGAATTTCTACTATTTTTCGTTAAATTATATTCAACAACCAGGCATATTATATGTATTGTATGACTTTTGATATTTTATGTATGGAAGAGAACTATCTAAAATTTTGGAACTTGTGTACAATCCTTTTAACATGTTGTCAATATATGTCCAAAAACCAGGCATCAAAAAGTATTGGAAAGGACATTATAATTATATCATATCTAAACTGAATGTTTGGAATCAAACATGCAGTTTACGTAAAAAAAAATGACAGTGAAAGTCGTCTCAAATCTGTATGAGAATCGTACAGTCAATTACTTCATCTTTTTATTTATTTTTATTTATTTATTTAATTTGTTAAATATTATAAACCACGAACAAAGATTCGATCTGGGTGTATCTTAGCATAACAATTTTTTTACACACCTTACACTGAAACACATTACTTATTTCATATTATCTTCATTTTTTTGTATGAAGAAAGAGTGTAAGATATCATCCTATCTGTTCTAATACCGGTAAACGTATTATAACTACCCTTTGAATAATTTATAACATAAGTTGTGATAACACTTCTAAAGAAGGTCTCGTCATGTAGCGAAGGCTCCAAACAAGAAATGTTACATTTTTATCCACCCACCCCTTTATTTGTTATTTGACCATAAATCGCGGCGTGATGTCCTTCTTTAGATAAGTTGATACACCAGCGATAAATCTGATTTTATTTTATTGAAGGATACCATGCTAATACATTAGAATTAAGCATGATCAGAAAGAAGTCTCTTTACCATAACCTTCAACAAACTGATAAAATATAATCGCATGAAACGTATCCACAATCATTAACATATGCAGAATTTTTGTGATATCCTTGTTTTTATTTGATTTTTTCCTTTGCTTTTAGGACAAAATGACTTGGCACTAAGTGTCTTGGCATCTGTGGAATAAAAATTCCAAACATCGAGTTTCAATTTCACCCAAACACACATGCCCTAACATGTTTTGTACTGTAACACTACTGTATAGACAGGGGGTAATTCGTGATGTATCTATTAACTATATTTATAGTGCTTATATACAATTCTTGTTAGTTAATACAAGAATTCAATGACCAGCGAATAATTTTAAATAAAATCATGTTCTTTGAGGAGTTGTAATGAGTCCAGTTTTTAATATATTCGATCAGTGCATACTATTAGTGCAAGATATATTACTGTATTCAGCGGCGGCTCACACAAATTGGTCCGACCAAAATAGTTCCGTCATGATAAGTAGATACAACATTATTGTTAATGATAAGAGTAAAGTTGTGTATGTCATACAATCAAAAACAACGTCAAAATACTATTAGAAAATCACTTTCCCCCCGAAATGCAAATAAAAAATATCAATATTCCTACGCTCGCTCCCTCCTCAGCCTTTTTTTTTTTTTTACATGTTTGATAACAGAGAATGAGGTCATTCTTGATCACCGATAAATTGATAAATCAACTACATGTTTATAGTCCGTTGTAATTTTATGGTGTTCTCGTGTGTACACTTGGTACTGTAGGGTTAACATGTGTAGCAAAACGAGAAGTTCGTATTGAAGTTCAGCATACCATTTTATATAGAACTTGAATTATGTAAGTCGATTACATTAGTATAAGTAATTTTCAAAACAAAAAAGGCATGACCCGGTCCTGATTTTCCAACCCGGCCATTTTAAACACAAGTTGTTGCAGATGCAAATAATAGAACAAACTATAGTTCAACAGGGATTGTATAATTTGTATTAATCAGAATACGTATTCATATGATCTAATTAAGAAAAGAAAAGTTTTGTCTGCCATCGTAACTTCTCGGCAAAACAAAATGTGTTTCTCCGAGCTCGCTGGATGCGTTTGACAGCTCCATCGCACGTGTGTAGACCAAGGTTAATGTTGGTTTTGCGAACACAGGTATGTGTACTGTTTGTTAGGAGACTGGGTGACCGTAATGCTACGAACTCACGAAATTTACACCAATTCCATAGTTAGACAGTGCAGTTTTTTTTAATTAAAGTCATTATAAACACTGTTAAACATATTAAATGAATAGTAACCCATATCTATTCTTGTTAAATATAACACGGAATGCATGCAAGAGGCATGCAAAAACCTTAATGTGATGATGAACACTCGTGTAATATGGTGTTCACTGAATTTATAGGGTTAAAGTCAACACAAAAACTGTCGCTGTAATTTTTGTACTTACTACCTCCTGTCGTATAACAATCTAATATCTCGATCTCTAAATCATTTTGCAAGTGCACATATGAGTGTTCTGCTAGTACTGATAATGCAACCCTTATTTGCCGTGTAATTTTAAAATCAATATAAATTCCAAATAGTATGACAAATCGAAATTAACCGTTATCGGAAGGGTGGATTTCCAGGAACAAAATACAGGAGCGATATTTTTAGACAAGAAGGCTATGGACTACTTTTGAATTCTGTTTTCAAATAACTTCCTGTTTGATATTTCTTTTCTGTATTAGTTAAACTGTTTTTGGAATTTGATTGAATACAAAGAAACCAAATAAATGGATTCAGAACAAGTTATGTTTTGTATTTTGTAATCTGACTTGTATTAGAGACTACAGAAGTAATATGCAATCTTCACTTTTTAAATTTACAGTCCTTATAAGGATATTCTTAAGGTTGAAGATTTGAAACAAATCATCTCTGTACCATTGTATGCGTACATGTACATGTATCGGATATTATTCAAATTCTCAATGAGGGCTAATCATATATATCCTATCTATTCCCTTGTAAGGTGACAGACGCACCTTATGTGTTAGTCATAAACATTTATCTATTGTAATGGAAGATCTTAAATCTACCAAAATAATCAAAAACTTCGAATGTTTGCTTTATAGTGAAAGTAATAAAGTGTTAAATCATAATTTGACAATTTACGTAACATTGACGGTATTATTTAAAACACTAGATAACGAATACACTAAATGATAACGTCTGCCTGCATTATTGCTCGAGGGTCAGAATTATAGCGTTTCTTAGTGGGACAACTTACTTTATCATCGGTGGTCAGGCAACGCAGATATCGAACCACGTGCACAAAACTATTGCAGCTTTGAAATCGATAAACACCAAAAAATGTGCAGATTATTGATAGCGGGTGCATTTGAAGACGTGTGATAAGACAAGGAAATGGCGCGCTTTGGCCTTCCTTATTCTGATGTAAGTTAACAGATATATGTACTCTAATCTTTGTCATAATAAAACTTTTTACCAGAAAATTTACTAAAAATTAACAATTTTCATCAATTTGAAGAACTGAAGTTCATGGCCAAATATTTGTTATAAAAAATGTTCTCTTAATGATTAATTGATGTCGACCTCTTTCTCAAAACAATTATGATTAAAGTATATGAAATTCTTTTTGCAAAATAAAAAAAAGATGCATATTACGAAAATACACAAAATAAAAATTATTTTGGCTACAACTAAAAAAATGTTATGGATGCTTGAGTTAAAATTTATAATTTTCGATAGAAAGTTATTTACTGGTAACATTATCTATTCAAATTTCCATAGACATCAAACAATATTGAAAGCGTGGGCCAATCTCGTAAAGGTTGTAAATCACATCCATTTCTAAATAGCGTGTATAAAATGACCAATTTATAACACCAAAGCATCATGAAATAGCATAAAAAACATGGTAGCAACTCAGTGTAGACAGTTTACTTAATATAAACTGCACGAAGTGTAGAATTGGTAGAAGTTTGCAGGGGTACGATAAAAAAAAAACTAGGAAAGAAATGTTTAAACATATTTAAAGATAAAAAAATCCCTTCAGCTTAGGAACATCACGAGCACGGAAAATTGAATTTAAGATTGATTGAGCGATAAAAAATACTGAGTAATCTTAAAAAATTTATAGAGAAAATATCGATAAGGTATAGCTGTTATATATATATGGCAAATATCCAAAAGTAGTTCAAATTTTCCTATTGCTTGAGAATATGAATATTTTTCAATATGATATATGTATGTACTTGCTTTATTTATGAAGCAGCCCGTTTGAAAATTCATATTAAAAAGAGCATATGTGGGTCACATCGACACATCTGTTTTATATTTAGATATTATACCTGAAAAAAAGACGTTGATGGAAATCTAACAACCAAACCTCATGAAAAACGTAATCACTTTAAGTTTTCAATCATCAACCTCTCTTACTTACGCAGCAATATACCGTCATCATCTACATACGGGGTTTATATCTCCCAGTTGGTTCGAAACACTAGAGCATGCTCTACGTATGAACAATTTCTAAAACGAGGTAAATTAGTGACAAACAAGTTGATGAAACAAGAATATCACTAATTTCGTTTAAATTCTATAGCCAATACAATGGCCTTGTGAGCACATACAGTTTATCCTTAAGTCAAATGATGACTGTTTTTTTTTCGTACTGATTGTTAAGCCATTATATACACACTGAATTGTCTACCTTTTACCCGATCAAGACAAGATTTAGAAGCACAGGCGGGTGTGAGGGATGCTTACTCCTCACTTTCACTTGATCCCACCTCTGATTTTTTGGAGATCCGTGTTTGTTCTGCTCCAATTTTGTATTGCTTAATGGATTTTTGATCATGAATACATTATCTCCATATATTTCATCGGTCACCTGAGTTACCTTAGCTCGGCATTTTTTAAATGCTTTTTTTTATTCCCTTGAATTAAAATCATGTTTTGGGCAAACGTTTTGAAGAAATTATCTCGCAACTAAAAGAAGAAGTTCCTCCAATTTTTACAGTCTTGTTATTACTCATAATTGTGTCTTTCCACCTCGCAAACCTTTTGAAAAATTACACTAGGTAAAACTCAGGTAAATCAGTGTTGGCGAAGTGGGAATCGGGTGTAGGCAAAGAACAAAAGAATTTAATGAAAGGTAGGCTATAATCTGCTTTAAGATAAAAGCTGAACATATTCTTAAGCATATGCTTACATACATTATGAGTAAAATATTACTGTTGGTATTGAGTTACAGTTCTGATACAATAAAACGGTAGTGCTTTTTTTAAAAACAAAAATGTTTGATATAATGATGGCTGTCTAATTCAATTGATCAGTTTTTGTTAATTAATCAATGTATTCTTCTATTCCCGTGCTATATAATAATTTGACATTTTTTAAACAAAAGATCTTATTTTCTACACTTATTACATATTTGGTAAAATTTAATTTTTAAATATATTCATTCTGAAATACATTTAAATTATAAATTATTCATAGGTTCAAACTTTTTAAAAAATAAACAAATCATAACTAACTTTAAACAAGCCTTAAATAAAGATGTAGCATAAAGCATAATTACATTAAATATATGGGGGAACATATGGAGATAACGAACAGTATTCAAGATCAAAAGTCCATAAATCAATACAAAATAGAAGCAAGGCAAACATGGTCCTCCAAAATATTAGAGGTGGGATCAGGTGCCATGGAGGAGTGAGCATTCCCTGCTGACCGGTCACACCCACCGTGTGCTCCTTGTGATGGTCGGGTTATAAAGGAAAAATCCGTCGTCAATTCAGTGTATAAATAATGGATTCACAATTAGTATGAAAATTGTCAGTCAGCATTTGACTCAATGATAAAGTGTATTTGCTGACTACGTCATTGTATCGACCATAGAACTTGCAAAATTATGACTTTGAAATTCTTGTTTCATCAACTTGTTTGTCAATAATTTCCTGCGTTTTAGAAATTGTTCATACATAGAGCATACTCTTGTGTATCGGATCAACTGAGATATATAAACTCCGTATGTAGGTGATGAAGGTATATTGCTGCATAAGTAAGGGAAGACGATGGAAAAGTTAAAGTCATGACGTTTATCATAGAGCTCGATTGTTAGATTACCATTTAAGTATTTTTGGAGTAAAATATGAAACAGATGTGTCAGACTCTGTGGTATCTTTTATCCTAACCAGACCAGGATATATCGTATCGACATTAGAATGGAAATTACCATTGTTAATTGACAATACGTCGTCGATATATTTAAATGTCGAGTTGAAGGTCACAACAAGTGTTCTCTTATTTTCACGCATAAGATTTTGCACAAATTCTGCTTCATATGAATACAAAAATATGTCTGATAATAACGGGGTGCAATTGGTACCTATGGGAATTAACAGTATTTAAGCTCAAAAATCCATTAAACATTACAAAACAGGATCATTCAAACTCTTCAGCAGACTTTGATATCTCCATTCATGGTACATCAGTTATAAAAAGCTTTCATACTTATCATCTCAAAGTCGTAGACCTACTGATTTAATCTGGCATGTCATTTTCATATTATTATTTAATTAAGATAGACAAAATAGAAAAAAAGTGAAGGTGTTCATTTGAGAATACCCGTTTACTATTTTTTAGACAGAGGATTCAATACAACATATCTTATTTATCAATGCACAACAACATAATATTTTGCATCTGTTTTGAAAAAGATATCTTAAATAAATTATAAGGAAGAAATTATCTATCATTCTTAGCAAGTATTATCAAATATTCGTTATGTGAAGAGTAGTGGCGGTAGGCAAGGATACGTGTTAAGGTGAACATTTTTATTTTACTTCCTTAGTAATAAGTTAAGAGCTCTAGTTTTTTGATATCACGAACATGTTTTTTATCAAGTATAAATTACTTTATAAAGTGACAACTTTTTTACTTCCCCATTCCCCTACTGCACGATATTGTTAGATAATCAAACCCAAAATCGATATTTTTTATCAATACGCCATGCTATGTCTCTGTTCTTGACAATGGCAAAAGGTTATCTCTAAATAGTATTATCTCCTCTCTACAGAAGAGCTTTTATTCCAAAAAGGACTGATTGTAAAAAAAAAAAAATCAATGTATTTGTTGTTCCCTAGGAAGACACGCTGGGACTCAGGTTAGTTTATGAGACAATGTACTCATAAAAATAGTAAATATGTAGTACAATTGTGTAAGGAAATGTAAAGAAAATCAACGCTAGCCATCTTGTTTTTAAGTTGATACTTTCTGCAAATCGTTAAAAAACCTTAGCTGATCTAAGCGAAAGGCTCCAGAATACCTTTTTCTGAAGAAAATTTGAACCAATCTCAACTAAATATTCAACTAAGAATGATACTTGTAAAAAGGTGGTTCAAAATTGGTTTGGTAAAGGAAATAGTCATTTCCATTTAGGAATCGATAGACAATTATGACCAATATTGGGTGGTTTCTTTTAGATCTTTCTCAGAAATCACATGAGATTACAAAACGTTTTCATCAGAACGGCATGATAGTCATTATATCTAAGACATAACTTCTGTAGCTGGGAGAGCTAAGATCGTCGTATTATTTCAGAATAAGTCTGTAAGAAGTCAAGTTCAAAATAATATGCTTGAATTTAGCTAAAAGTTAACTTTGAAAATTTTCTATTTAAGAAAGGTTAAGTAATGTTCATGACTTTCAGTTTACATATTCTGATGATAAGGCCAAAACTAGAATATGATGACAGAGCCTCTATTGACTTGAATCATAATTGGAATCCAAGATAGTAAATACCGGTCATCATAATAATTAATGTACAAAGCATTCCACAATATTAAATTCATTTAATTGGCATGGTTCAAAGTTAATAGTAGAACTTGTGAAAAATGTCTCTAGTAGGACAGAAAAACTGATTTTATTAGTTGTCAAATTAAAAAAGCATCCGTTATGGATAAATTTTAAACAATATAGTTCATGATTAAATTTTAAAGCAATAAGAATAAATATGTATTAAATATTTATTGGATTATTTTTTAAAAAATTTTTCTATAGAATATTAAGAAAGAAATTAATATGCCCGAAGATAACCGGGTATACCAAGATAATTAAAAAAAACCCCTGAAAACTGGACAAATGGTATGGCCAGTCTTTTCAAAAAAAGAATAATCACACTTTACTCATGTGCTGTTTTACCGATAAGGCATTTCTTATCATCTCTTGGCATCATTTATTGTCAACAAAGGTATTTTATCTCTGTAATGGATTATTACAGCTTTATGTCTCATGGTTGTATTAATTTTTTATATAAAAAATAAAGTAAGTATAAATAATGTTTTATTCTGTGCACAACACTCTTTGACAAGTATAATTCGTATTGACTTGCTCTCAAAGTTTGATAGTTGTAATGGTTTAATCATTCTACAGCCTTTACGATACTAATAATTTAATGATATCTTTCACAAAACATTCAACAAATTAACAATTATTGTTACTTTTTACAAAAGAAGGACTTTTATCTTCATTTATGCTTAAAGGGTCATATAAATGTTGTGTTAACAGATGTTACTGAGAAATATTTCAAGGATTTTCCCCAAATTAAAAAATAAATATATAGAATATGGATTTTTTTTTCGAATGACAATACTAGCCACTTTCTTATTTTATATGGCTATTGATGAATAACTTACCGTTTCCTTTGTGTATTGCCGCTTGACTGCTAATGTACAAATTGAGTGATTTTGAAAAAGTAAGCCTTTCCTTACTGTAGATATTTATTAACAAACCAGCAATACATGTACTTCTGAAAAATGGAGTATTTTACTGTCAAATACTGATTCATACGAGACGAAATATTGACAATGGAAAAGAATAAGGCAGAGAAAAAGAGGCGACAGGGCTAAGAATGGGACTCGGTTTTTCTATCCTTAGTGTTATTTTTTTTTAAGGAAATATTCAAGCCATCTTGTTATTTGAATATTATTTTACTAGGCATACAATCTCTTCCTTGACTTCATTCCTCCTTTAATCTGTTAATATCTTGTACAACACATTGCAAAGTAGACACTGAAATACTCAATGTATCTCTGAAATGTCACCAGATTTCACAATCTCTTACAGATTCAATTCCTAATCCTACATAGGCTTTCTTTTTTCCAAAATAGTGATTTTGAACATCAGCGAATATAGTAAATAAGATGCTACGAGGATTGTTCGAAAAGTTCGTGGACAACTGCCATGTCTTTTTTATTTGACGTCATATGTTATCCAAATTTGGAAGAAATATTTTAACAATAAATCCAAATGATTTGTATCAATTTCTTTCACAATATTAATCCAAAATTTATCCAGGATTTAAAAATGCAAAACTCGGATCGTGGAGCAGGTCAAAATTTAGTAAGTTACAGACAATACAGTAAATAATGTCTGTAGTCACATTCTCTGTAAAATGGAGCAAAAACGAAAAACAATTATGGTTTTATATTTTGTTTTGTTGAAAAAAAATCAACTTGAGAAGATAGGTAGTCCTTATTGAAAACGAAAAAACGATGACGTTTTAAAACGTCACGGATTAGCAGATAACGATGCAATTTTGTGCTTTACTCAAGAAAAATCCTGAATAAACTCTAAAATGTTGAGGGAATCAAGAAAATATGCCACAAGCGAAATGTGCATGTGTGTAAAATAGGACAGGTAGTATTTGAGTATCGGATGAGGATGATCTGTGAAGAAACTGTTTAACTGTAAAAATCTGAACAAAATCTGAACAAAACATTAAAAAGTTGGAACGTCTAGGAAAGACATAGGCACTTCAGAGTTGCTTATCCTGTGAAAGCATAGTTAAGTAATAAAATAAATTAAAATTTTAACAAAGAAAATTATACATCTAGAATAATTCTTAACCAAAAAAAATAAATTTAAAGAATTAGAGACAAAATTTAATAAATGAACATTAGAGTATTCTGTGGGAATTGTATAGGGATAGTATTTTTAGAAATTCTCGACGCTATGTTTTGACGTTACATTGCCGTTAAATGTGCTCCGCGGGTAAAAAAATGATGATTCTAAAATGAAGTGAATTGATTTCTGTTCAATCGAATGGAATGAAACTTCACATATCAACAAAACAAATTTTTTTACATATTATAATGTGCTTAATTTAACTTCCTAGTGAGTAACATAACGAAGATTGACATCGACCACGAACTTTTCGAACAACCCTCGTATCTATGTAATTGCATACGTCAAAAGATAGTAGTGAATATTAAATTATATCTTAAAAAGGTAAAAAAAAATATGAGTAAAAGGTATTCATAAAGTTTTGTTCACAGGAATCCACTTTTTCTTGTGGAACATTTACTCTAACAAATTTATACAGAATTTTCTTGGGTAAATTTAGGAAAACCATAACTTTATGGAAGGATCAGTGTTTTAATATGGATTTCAGTACTGAAATAACTACTATGCATCATCTGTGTTAAAATCAATTGACATTTTTAAAAACCATCTTATTTTAAATTATCTGAATTAGATGACAGTTGCTACTTCTTTTAAAATATAAGATTTCATTGAAAATTTGGAAAATGACTTTATGTGAACTGTTCTTTATAAGTTTCCAGTTAATGTTTAATAAAAATATACTTTAGAACTTTGAATTGAAACTTAAGGATAAAGAATATGTCCCTATAACGGTGAATATGTCAAGCGTTAAGGTTTATTTCTACCCCATGATTACAGATATTATGTGCTATATCTTATAAACTAACCAATAAATCTGGCGCATAGTTTACTTAAAGGGTAGGAGGTTGTTTGAAAGTTATAAATATGTCATTCTGTCGCGTAGGGGTAGTAGTACATAAAGTCTACAAACAGGCATACATACACATAGAGTATCAAATGCATTAACAGTCTGTCTATAGAGGGGAAGAAAATGTTCTCCACAAATGTATTCTATTTGCTATGAAGCAATCCTGATCACGTGGCCGTGAAATGTTTAAATATTCAACAAAGGTAAGAATCTCACTAACATTGTCAATTCAGGGGAATTGTCTGAAATAAATCCCTTTATCTGAAAAATATTTCAAATGAATTTCAAATTCAAAATTTCTTTTACAAAACAAAATTATCTTTTTTTTTTTTTTTTTGGCAATTCATGCTCATAGGTTGATACATTTAATTGTTAAATTTTCATTTTCAAATATGAAATAAGTATTCGTTTTTAGCGCTTTGATAACAAAATTAAAATATGAAGCATAAAGCTTTTCGACAGATACAAATATTAAGAAAGTGGGCGAAGAAAAGGAGTTCAAGTATTTGTAAATATAATGATTTTATGGCCCTCTGAAATTGATATTGTAGCCACTGCTCAAAGCTCCGAATGATAAGATGGTCAAATTACGCTCGTAAAACACAGACATGTCTCGATCAGGAATCATTAGTGGGGGAGAAGTTGAACTAAATTTTAAACAGGTACATAAACATTGTACTTACGTGATGTTGTAAACAAAAGATGAAGACAAATCTTTTAGAAAAGTTCAATTGTATCTTTGTTATTTGCTTGATGCATTATGTACAAAAGGAAAACATGCATTCTACAAAACAGTGAAGTAGCCATTCCAATATTCCAAGCTGTGAATATAGAAATTAATTTAAAAACTTAAAAATGACCATCTTAAAATCATCTTCTCTATACAATGCAATACTGAGAGTATCAGGTGACGGTGTGATACGGATAGGCCTTTCTTAAAGGCATCAGCACTAAAACAACAACAACAACAACAGAAAAGTGGATTAATATTTCATGCATTAAAAACTTTCTACATTTTTATTACATATATACTTTAATGCATAAGAAAATCAAAACAAATATTGTTTTTTTCAAAATAGCACAAATATTAAAAATCCTTGTCAATATGTTGCAGCTGAACCCCTCTAGAAGATTTTTTAACCCTGGAGGTCTTACTCTCCCAGACGAAGAAGACGACGGCGTCCAAATCCCTATGAATACAATGCAGAACGGTGATGGAGGACTGACAAACCTTGCCTACACGGAGGACGAGGAATCCACCGCGTCATCAAGCCACGAACATTCTAACGAGGATGACGAAGTTTTTGACGATGATCCACCGAGTTACAAATCCAGGGATCCAAACGATGACGTCGACGTTGACAGAGAAATTAAAGATACAGGACCGTACGTTTATCTTTTGGCTTAATTATCTACCAAATCTACTCATACTATCATGTACATTAAAAGTTCTTTTGAACGTTTGATTCATTAGATAATGTTGACAGAAAGCAGTGATTGATAAAAAACTCGTTCATCTTTATCTTAATATTATTTGTCTATAAAAGTAGTAGTATTTTGTTTTAGATTGCACTCATTGAAGAAAATTTAACCCTTTTATAAAAAGGCATCTCAGACACTAATTTTATGATCGTATAAAACAAATTAAAATGTCTGTAGAATTAAAATCTGAAATCAATATGAGATAATTTAAATAAAAGAGGCGCTAACAACTGTTTAATATGTTTTACTTCAATGAAAATCTCTTCCAAATCAAACCAATGACCAAACAAACATTCACATACTTCAATAAAATTCTCCATAAACAAACGAACAATTAAACAAACATTTCTACTCTGGTGAATTCAGTTGTTTTTAATTACTAGTACTTAATAAATCTTGATTTTAGTGCCTGAAGACTATGATGTTTATTTATTGTTATTTTTATCATATTACATATGCTGTCTATTTTTCCAGTAAACATTATAAATGGGATGTGTTCCGTTTGGCATCGGACGACAATATATCTGGATCTGAGTTAGCCTGTTGGAACGCTTGTTTCGTCATTAACAGAGTGGTGCTTTGTGCATTAATTTTCTTTTTTGTTTGTGTGACGTCGGTGATTTCAAAATTCACTTTTATTTTGATGACAACAAACATCATTCCACCCAATGGAGAACTTAAAAATCCAGAGCAAACTCTTAAATATTTGAGGGACAGACCGCTATCAAGCGTGGAAATCACGTGGATTTGGAGTCTTCTCATTGCCATCATAGCGCCGTATGTGTTTATAGTCTTCAAATACATCATGATTCTTCTTTTCAAGAAAACACGGAAACTGAATTGCAAAGTTTTGTTGGCAGTAAGTAGAAACTTTGTTTTTTTTTAAAGAATATAAATTTTGAAAACATTTTTGGTAAAAAGAAAAAATGTTCATAAACATATTTTGTCTATACAGGCGTTGTGTATTGAGACACTGCACTCCATGGGACTCTGCACATTTGTTCTGGTGGTTCTACCAAACTTTGAGCCAATATCTGCAACTCTTCTCTGTTCAAGCGTGTGCTTGGTACCTGCTCTACTAAAAACAATTTATCCGGAAAGAACTTTGAAGAAAATAGAAGAAAAAGACGCAGGTCGACTTCGAATTGCTCGTGCTATTAACTCTCTAGCTTTTGTATTTCAGTTGGCTAGTATCGGCCTTTGGACTTATTATGTGTACCATTCATATAAGACAACAGACTCTCATACAATTACTATGATGGTCCTTGTAGCCTTGTCTCCGATACTGGTATCAGTAACGTGGTGGGAAAATTATGTCAAACAAGCCAAATCCAAGAGCAAAAATTCCAGTGATCCCGATGAGAACTCCTCAGGTCTGATGCGATTGAAGTTAAACATGAGACGCCACAGAGTCAAAGTTGGTTTCCTTGTCAACTTGTGGAAAATAATAATGACATTAATTGTAATGCCTAGCTTACTGTATGGAGTATTTTGTGAAGATGGTCAGACATGCATCGATGCCTTCTTTCTTAAGGCTGAAGAAGAAGCTAGACTCAAAATAATCGTCAATGCAACAATAACAGATACAAGGTCATTTGGACAAGACTGTATCTCTTATTTTCCTTTCATGATATCGATGGCGAACGTATTGTCCAATATTATATGCTTTAAAGTAGCTAAAGCCGCAAGTAAGATTGTGGCACAGAAATTGTGTTTTGCCCTGCCCGTTGTTTTATCAACCCCTATTGTTATAGGGATTATACTTGGTTTCTACTCGGAAACAGCATCAATAACAATTGGAAATTGCCCATTACCTATGCCAGTTTGGGCGGACAAGAACCAAGATCCCACAATTCTCTTTGACATCATAGGAAAGTATTGGGTGGTTATTGCCGCGGGAGCTCTTGGATATCTGTCCTTTCTTCTCGTTACAAATCACATGTGGTCACCAAGCAAAGAAAGACTCATCGCCACGGACAGGTGCCTTATTTTTATGAACGGAACTTAAATTGAAAAGTGCAATTGGAAATTGTTTCTGTAGAAAATCAAACTTTCCTAACTTCGTTAACTTTGTAGGTTATTTGTACAACCATTATTCAATGGAGTCTTGTTAGACCAGTCCTTATTACTTAACAGAAGACGAACAGACGACGAGTTTAAAAGAGCAGAAGAACATAATGTAAGAGTTCCTTTCTCAAAATAATCACTAGATATTATTAAGTATTATTAAGTATTAAGCATTCTTCATAAAGCTTGGTGCTTTTATAGGAATCAGAGAAGAAGGTTCCTATCCCAGAAAATGACGATATAGACGAGAAACAAGAGATCGATTGGTCAATTCTGAGAAAAGACGATACACCGATGATATACTTTTGTGCGACAATGTGGCATGAGTCAGAAACTGAGATGATTCAAATTTTGAAATCGATATTCAGGTAACTACAGTATTATATAATTGAAATTGTTTTGTAGTCAGGCATATGGCTTGTGTTGTTGAACCTGATATGTCATGAAGTTTGATGGTCTTGAAATATCAATGATATTAAATAAATCAAAATCAAAAATACTAATAAAAAATAAATTATTAATTTGTTATGTCTATGATTTTTAGACAAGACGAGGACCAATGTGCCAGGCGTCATTTACAGATGTTTCTTGGAATCAAAGACCCGGATTATTACGAATTTGAAGGTTAAGAAAAACAATTTAAACCATTAAAAGAAAATATCTTTTTCAATTGAAATAATAAAACGGTGTAGAGAGCGTTGTCTTATGAGGATTATTAATAAAAACAGAAATATTAGTACAACAGGTGATAATTTCCACATACTACTCAATGATTGCATTTCTTCGATCGATCACCTAAAGCAAAGCGTGTGTAAAATAATATCCCTGATGTTCAAACTTTGATATTTTTTATAAACAGCTCATGTGTTCTTTGACGATGCCTTCCAAGCACATACTGACGAAGACTTTATCTACCAAGTCAATGATTTCGTCCATCTTCTCGTCAATTGCATCGACATAGCCGCCAGGTATGATACTTGCATTCTTCAAACAACAATTGATATTTTGACACGTATTTTGTCATAAGTCATGCTGGACATATATATTTATAATACTTTATAGATTTTATTCACCGAAACCTATATTAAGAAATCTTTTATTTTTTTCACAAAATGCAAGATTGAAGTGATGCCTTTAAAATTCAATTATGATACTGTTTACAGTTACAAAGTTTGTTTTTATTTTGTTTAAATCTATTTCAAACTTAAGTATTGTGCATCATTTTATTTTCAGTGCTGTTCACAAGACAGTCATGATAATTCCCCCACCAGTAAAATACCCTACCCCATATGGCGGACGCTTAGAGTGGCAGCTTCCTGGAGGGAACAAACTCATTGCACACCTTAAGGACAAAGCAAAAATACGTCACAGAAAGCGATGGAGCCAGGTAGAATATACAGTCATGTACTACTTGATCATGTTGAAATAGGACTGAATACATATTCAAAGGATACTTGTAGTTATTTTTCCAATGATTTATGCGAATATCGTATTACTTCATAGGTACATATCTCCTACATCCATCCCATTATATAACATACAATCACAATTTTTGAATTCCAGGTCATGTATATGTACTACTTCCTTGCTCACAAGCTAATGAATATCCCAAAGAAATCAAAGGCCCAGCGTAGAATAATTGCAGAAAACACATTTTTGTTGGCATTGGATGGGGATGTAGATTTCCAGCCTAAAGCAGTTCAGTTACTAGTCGATCGAATGAAGAAGAATCCAAAAGTCGGAGCAGCATGTGGTAGAATACACCCCATCGGCTCAGGTGTGAAAACCTTAGTATAATAAAATTACTATTAAATAAAGACTATTTTTCCATTTCTCACAAACATAAATGTAGTAAACAAATTCATTGCTAGGACCAATGGTATGGTATCAACAGTTTGAATATGCCATCAGTCACTGGCTGCAGAAGGCAGCAGAGAATATAATGGGTTGTGTGCTCTGCAGTCCCGGGTGTTTCAGTCTGTTTAGGGGTTCCTCTGTGATGGATGATAACGTCATGAGAAGATACACCACCCCGCCAACTGAACCCCAGCATTATGTGCAGTATGACCAAGGTCAGGGACTATTTACTCTGAAGACAATGTACAATGCTTGTATGGTTTACTCTCTGTCGTTCTCTCTGTATGATGATTTTTACGCTTGCAGGTGAGGACCGTTGGCTGTGTACACTTCTTTTACAGCAAGGATACAAAGTGGAGTATGTAGCCGCCAGCGATGCTCTGACGTATGCACCAGAGGGTTTCAACGAATTTTACAATCAACGAAGAAGATGGTCGCCATCAACCATGGCAAATATTATGGATCTTTTGATGGACTGGAAGAACGTTACGAGGAAGAATGAGGATATCTCAAAGCTTTACATTTTGTATCAGACCTTTCTGATGGTTTGTTCTATTTTGACACCGGGAACTATCTTTCTGATGATACTTGGAGCGATCACCATGGCCTTTCCATCCATTCCACCTTTCGCTGCTATGACAGTCAATATTATCCCAGTTATTGGAATGGTTATCCTTTGCTTTGTTGCGAAATCAAACGTTCAGGTACAGGTTTAAAATTATTTCACTTTAGAACAATTTAACCGATTTCATATGCTGTTGAAGAACAACTAAATTGAGTTTCAAGCTTTTTTTCCCCAATTATACCCATATAACTTTTTTTTCAGCTGACATACGCCGCCATTGTGTCCACTATTTACTCGCTGTTGATGATGGTTGTCTTGGTGGGATTGCTGGTAGAGGCGGCAGGTGCGGGACTTTGTTCTGTGACGACACTGTTTCTTCTGTTTGTTGCTGGCGTGTTTGTAGTCTCTGCTCTCCTTCATCCACAGGCAAGTGAAGGCTACACAAATCACTGTTATCTGTAAATGATACATCTTGTTATTTCATAAAAAGATATTTTTACTCGATAATAATGAAATGTTTTATACTGTAAGTCTAAGTATTCTACAAAAGAAACTCATTTAGAATTCATAAACAAAATTATTCTTCCTCCATTCCTAATGATCGATGTGTAAAAGGCTTAATTTTATTTTAATAATGATCAGATAGATTTTCTTATGTTCTCTTTTCAGGAATTTTTCTGTGTGTTACATGGATTCCTTTATTTTCTCTCCATTCCATCAATGTCGATGCTTTTGATGATTTATTCTCTCGGAAATTTACACGTTGTATCCTGGGGAACAAGAGAAACAAAAGTAGCCGCTCCTCCGCCCCAGCAGGGGAACCAACCGACACAGCAAAATAAAGTACAATCCTGGCTGAACAAGCTCGGAGTCGGAGACAATGCTGGAACATCAGATTACACGTTTTCTTGTGGGAATCTTCTACGGTAAAGTCTTTTAAAATATTTCATGTTTCATTTTGTGTGTCATGTAATATTTATGGTGGTTATTTGTAATCTGTATCAAAAGCATTACCTTTACAGTTATGCGATCAGCGTGGAATCAATTCATACGAACTATTTGTATAAATTAGTATCTTTTACCTTATATAAAATCACAACAGTGATATATTTGATTATATATAGATTTTTTGTTGTCATTATCTTAAAAATTACATAAAATGGCGTCTTTTAAAATTTCTTTCTGTTGAAAACAGGTGTGTTTGTTGTCCTCATGCGTCGGCCTCCCATACAGAAGACATGAGGTTCAGGGCTATCTTGGAGAGGTTAGATGATATTGAATCGCGCATGACGGAAGTAACACACAGCCGTATTGATTCTGGTTCAGCTATTAATGTGAAGCTGGAAGAAGAAAGTCTTCCATTTTCAAAACAAAATGGAATATTTGAAGGAGCAGTAGAAAGAAGTAAGATATCTAGAATTGATGCATGTGCTTTTTGGTTGATTTTCTTGAAGAACTTGTTTAATATTATCAAAATCATTTATAGCAAACCCAGCATTCGTGGAAGAAAAGGACAAAAGACGTGATGAATTGAAAGATCCTTACTGGATACATGACGCATCCTTGAAAGAGGGAGCCAAGTGCATCTTATCTCATGACGAGATTCAGTTCTGGAAGGAATTTATTCCACAGTACCTCAAACCCTTAGAAGGAAACAAAGAACATGAAAAACAAGTAAGGATGTTTTTTCTGTTCAACACTGAAGCAAAAGCTGATTAAAACAATTACATATATATGATAAAATTTGATACTAGTATATCATTTTAATGATAACCTTGATAACCTTTTCCATACAGATACAGCGTATAAATTCAAACTTAAAGTTAAAAACACAGTTAATTAATATCACAATGACTTAATAATGCATTTATTCTAAAATAGGTACAAAGGGATCTAATTGAGCTGAGAAATAAAGTATGTCTTGCCTTCCTCTTGATGAACGCCTTGTTTGTGACTATAGTTTACGTACTAACGGAGGTCAATGCCAGCACCAGCCAGAGCCTGTCTATTAAACTACCCTGTACAGTGAGTAACGGACGCCAAGGACAGGGTTATATTGAACCGATATCTTTTGCCTTCACTGCTATATTTGGAATAATGCTTTTGCTTCAGTTTGTTTGCATGCTTTTCCATCGGTTTTCTACGTTCATACACATAGCTGCTTCCACGGAGATCCGCTTAAAAAGAAAATTAATTGATACCATGCGAAGAAGTGACAAGGGGCCTAAAGAAATTGGAGTAGAAGAAGGTCTCCAGCTTGTTAAAGAAATGCAGGCCCAGGACAATTCTGATACAATGTCTGTCATGTCTCAAGAAACTACAATAAGTGATGATATAGAAACTACCGGCCCTTCAAAGGGCAAAGAACTCTGGAAAAAAATCGGTCAACGACAAAGAAAAGCAGCCAATGGGAAAACATTATCTCGTAATTTTGCAAAGAACTTTGCAAAGCTAAATAAAGCAATGCAAGAACAAGATAGATCTAGTACTAGAGGAATATCAGAACAAGACGATTTAACAGAAGACAAAGTGGCTGCTGTGCAGAAAGTCTTTAAAAACCGATTCCAGAGGAAATCTTTGCTTACAATTGTTACACTTGCACAAAGTAAGCAGAAGCAAGAAATCCAAAAAAGAGCGTCATTACTTAAGAAAAAGAAAGTACAGTCAGCATGGGTCGCTGCAGCAAATAGAGTTAGACTTGAGGAACGCATGAAAGCACGAAATGAAGGAACAGGTGATAGCAGTAAAGTGGGATTTGCAGAAGTTTTAAAAACTGCCGCTGCTTTAGAGAGAAAGAAGAAACTTTCTATGCAACAAAGAAAAGAAGAGAAGCACATGGCTGAAATAGATGAAGAAGAAGAAGAACCAAAGACAAAGAAACATGTAGATGAGAGAAAAGCCCGGATATCAGTAGGTAATGCGTCGGATTGGCCTGCGGAGCATGCGTATGCAGCTCAACCATCCGGGGACGCAGAGGATAGAGAATCAGAAGGAGACTACGCTAACGCTGATGTATTGTTTTAATCAGCATAATTCAATATGATACAATCTGTGATACTGACTTTTGTTGTAGATAAAGTATTTTGATGTTTACTTTTCACTGTTATATATATTTTTCATCTGTTTATGTATTTTAAAGCATTTCGTGTGTAAATTGTTAGTACCATTAGAACTTTATGCCAGATTATTGCCTTGTCCATCTTTTGAAATTATATAGCTCTTTACCCTTCAGAGTCCAAAATCTGCGAAACCTACGCTAAAAAATGTTTATGTACCAAGTGGACTAACAAAGTATGGTTTAAAAACAACATTAGTTTAAAACAAGGATATGAGATTTATATAACTAATTTATTATCAAGACCTGAGAGAACGAAGGTTTCAAATTAATTCTATTGTTAATCAAAGTCATTTTTTCATGAATATTGTTCATTTATTCATGAACATTGTACATTATTTACCAAGAATTTTTTTTCTTGGATGTCAAAGGCCAATTGGCCTTTGGATATTTTTTATGTTCATTTAATTGTCACTGAAAAAAATGTATTGCATTTATGATACTTTACAAATATAGTATAACTTGAATAAATGTCACAATATTATTCTAGAAGAAATTAAATGGGAAGGATTTGTCCAACTATAAAATACTAAGTATATGGAATTTGAGAGTCAATTTCGACTTTGCTGATATGGTTCCCATTTCTCGTAGACACTGGAATACAGTTTTTATAATTAGCAGAGATTAGTTTGTTTGAAAGGATAACATATAAACAATAAAATTTATTATCTTAGATAATAATCAAATATATGTTTTGAAAATCTAATTGTGGCATAAATGCAGAGCAACAAATCAATAGATGAGTGATTACAGCCAACACAGAGGGAAGGCAATAACACATTGGAAGGCCCGGCCAACACAAAGGGTGTTACCCTGCAACACAACAGTGAAGAATTAATATAATCATTTGAATTTTAGTTCAACGTTCATAGTTCAATGTTCACAATTTCTCAACAGATGGTAAAAATGATGAATCTTGGAAGTGGATAAGTCAAATAGCTGGAATGTGATCCTTACTGCCTAAAAATAGAAGTAATCCAAAATGTTACACTAAACAAAAGATATAGTTAACGCATAGTTTTTGCCGTCTTGTTAATTGAACATTTGCTTGATCGGCACAGGTATTTTATATAAGACATTTTCCCAATAAACTGAAATTAGCAAATGCCTGAGATAGAAAAACCTTTTAATGACCTTGCCTGAATACCATTTTCCCTACTTGCAATGCGCACCGTTTTTTTTTTAAAGATATGAAGTTGAAGATTACGGATGGTGGTCACTGAAGTTGCAATAGAAATAGTTTCCAATTTAAAACATTAAAAAGATAATCAAAAGCTGTTGGAAATAATACAAAAAAACCCAAAACAAAATATTTACATTTGCAAATGTTTTTCTTTATATAACACTACTGAAAGCAAGCGTTTTTATAACTGTATAAATACAGGTACGGGGTCAAGAGGTCATAGATGTTCGTATGGATAAACGTTCGACGTAATTTCTCTGTGACGTCATAAAGGGTCGACGCGCGGTCAGTGGATTACGTACATGCCGTTGGGTTTGAAAAATAATGCATTTCACATGTTAAAAGTCACAATCAGGCAAGTTCAAAGTATGAATAAGTCACAAATGTAAATATAAGTAATAAGGTATCATTTTTTGAGTGTTATTGGGATGTAAAACGGGTTGGCACATGATCAAATCTTCCATAAAGCCCTTCGGGCTTTAAAAAACAACCCGTTTTACATCCCAATAACACTCAAAAAATGATACCTTATTTCTTAAACAAAACATGCACCCTCTTTAAAGTTTGTGCAAAAAATGAAAAATGAAAACGTGTGAAGGTTGCCGATTTTTACACATTTTACATACATTGTTTAGATATGCAGTCTTAGTCTATATAACGAACAAAGTAAAAAGTTATTTTAAATTGATTTCATGATAAAATGGTTTGGAATTTTGGGGAGCATTAGCGCCAGGAAATGGAGGAGAATTTAATTCAGATGAATGCGCGAAATGGATCCATTCTTGACATCTGTTTAAGCACAACACCAAGAATCAACCTTTTCAAAAATGTACTTTGTGAACGACTGTTCACAAAGTAAGATTAGATACTGATGGAAATGTGAAGCTAAAGTAAAAGTGTTGATTCCTTCTTGCAGTGGTAGATATTACAGAAAACTTATTACAGATGCTGAAAAGAGTAGCCATCAATTAATTATTTGGACTGAATCGAAATTTTTCTAAACATCATGATAGCAGATTTGCTTGATCAGAAGGAAAGCCAGGTTCTGAGACTTTGTCTAGGCATTTGAACACTCTACAAGGAGCAAGACATGCTTTGATTCAGAATAAGGCAGATGAAGAATATTTAGAGCACTCCCTTCGGAAGAAATGGCAGCAGAAGAAACAGATGAAAATGGTTACTCTGTGATTAACAAATGGGCGATTCGAGAGCGCTAGAAATAACCCGGAAAGGTGGTATTTCAATTCGGAAAAGTTGTGTTTGTGAGATATGGAGCTTTTCTCGCTAGTGTATCCCCTAAAAGAATGTGCAGCAGTAATAAAATTGATTAGTCAGAGAAAGAAATGGATAGAGACACAGTATGAAAATAGAAATGTAAGGATAATGATTTGATTTCTTTAAGAATCTCTTACCCAGGGACTAGAGTACACATCTAGGAAATGGAACTACAAACTGAGCAGATGCAAATGCCCTAAAAACAATCAAGTACAAGGTACCACACTATGAGAGATAATACTAGAGAGAGCCAAAGAAGAGACAGGAAGATTAAATGTTAGACACAGGTCGAAATTGAAGTTCGTGGTTATTTATATAACGTGCAGTGGAAAGCTGATAAACAAAAGTAAGCCCACCCCTTACCCCCGTGAATATGAATGAAACATTATGTATATGACATGCATGTATATGATTATATAATTACACTGATACCCAGCGTATGACAAATAGCAAATATTTCTGTTTAAAGAAGATAATCCAAGGAATGTTTTACTGATAATATTATCAGGTTAACTCAGGTAATTAAAGGGGGATTTACTGCAACAACATAACGAGGAACAAATATCATAACCTGAGCTTTATCGAGCTGTAAATTAGGTCACAATGATATGATTAATCATGGGGGCACATCACTTCTTCGTAATCATAAAAATAAAGTCCCGCTCCTTGGTCCCTGTCTATCAGCTTTATCATTAAATTTATCATAACTGATCATTTCAAGCTGTGATGTTCTGGGGACCGTGCGAACAATCCAAAAAATAAGGTATGCAATCCTTACATGTTAATGATATCACTAGATCAACATATTCACATTATTTTTAAAATTTCATTAAATTTTCATTCCAATGATAGTACAATTATGATTTTCTGTAAACATTTTTTAAAGATTGTGTAAGTTTTATCCTCTAATTAGTGTGGTATAAAATATATTCTAATTTTTAAAGTGTTTTCAAAAATATTTTAATATTTTCATTTTCTGCAAATCGCATTGGATATTTCAACATGACTAAGAAAGAACTTGTGCAAAAATATGATTTATATTTTTTCAAATAAAGAACGGAACGTATTCTTAGAGGATATTGTGGATAGGAGCATTTTATTCCCCCTTAGTAAAATCTCTTGTAAAAGCGCCTGTTATAAAAATTATCTTTTTCAAAATACAAAAAATAACCATCACTAGTTGACCTGACCTCGGAGGTATGACTTGGGATCATAAAACGTATCAGTCACCAGCAGAAAAAAAAACTTCGAAATGAAAACTTATTCCAAGTCAGAAATTCATCCAGTTTTTTTGTAAAATTGATGCCTATAGACACCGGGAATCGTTCTTTTACACCAAAAGCTAGTAAGCGGATCCTTTTGAATCAGAGTTTTTCATTATTGATGTATGGATCTCTGATTCTGCAGATCGTTATAAAATCTCACGATATAATTTTTGTAGGATTTTGTTGTCACGGAAATCTTTGAACACGAGTGTGCGATATACAGATTAAAGGTCAATTTATTGTGATATACATCCTACACGTGTCTTTCGTCATATGCGGCATTGATGAACATTAAAGAAAATTTGCATATTTGATTTGTGTAGCATTTTTTACAATAAGTCTACACTATTTTCATATTTATTATGTAAACTCTTCGCCATGTCCCCTTTGGTAATTTGCACATCAGGAGGACGTTTTATCATCATATATCTAATAAGATAACTTTTTTCACCAGAAAAAGGGTTTTGATATCTGTAAGCAAGGTATCTCCATGATATAGATCCCTTAATTAATGAATCCAATCCTATCGTACAGGGTCATGATTTGGAACTACACGTAACTCATACCCTTAGCTCCTTTTCTAAGGAGAAAATTCTTCAAAATTGTATTTTAATTTTAAATATTTAATATTTCCAGAACCCAAAATGAATTTAAATTGCCATTTCTATATTGGATTCCGACACTTCATAAAAATCCTTACAAAGGTACATAGGTTCCAGTAAATGCTCTTTCAAGTCTCTTTCTCTACTCCTCATTAAGATATTAACAGTAGTGAAGGCGAACCTTCAGGAGCATTGTACAAAGATATATTCAAGAAGTGGTGTAAATCAGATATGGATAAAAAATTCCAATTAAGGAACTTTTGAAAATGTGAAATCACAAATTTTTTTTTACCAAAAGCAACAACATAAAAACTTACGACTTTTCAACTTTATTCTTAAAGTTAAATTATACTAGTAATCAAGGCCTTTTGACATCATTGACAGTTTTTTTTTCAATATAGATGGAACTCATGAATTTGCTTGCCTTGTCATTGGTCATTAGCAAAATTACTTCGTTTAAAAAACAGTCTGATTGTACACATAAGTACCCTGAAGTTGATATTAAAAAGATGCATGTATACCTTTCTAATTTACTTGCATGATTTAGATGGATTTTGCTCCATATCGCGAGGGATCAGGGCTCAGAATGTCAGAAAGGGGCATTTCAAGATCTCTAAATTCACTGGGAAATGAAATGGATGTTGTTGCACACAGAAACCCTGCTTATGAAGACGATTCCTGTGATTCAATAGAATCATTTCAACACTCTTCAGACAGCGAGACATCTGATGAGAAATACGACGACCATTTTGGGAATCAGAAAGTAGAAAATATTCCAATTCAAAAGACACCACTTCCAGAGGAGTTCTCAGTCCAAAGTTCCCAGTTTTCGCACAGGTTGATTATATAAATAAATATAGACAGTTTTACATGTTCTTTCTTGTTATTAGCATTCAAATGAGTTGAATGCTTGAATAGACAGATCTTTTTTTTTTCTTGAGAATAATACCTATTTGTCAATGTTAAGCTTTCAATCAATTGAACTTTACAATGAATATTTAGGTATTATAAAATAACCTTACTTTTTCAGACCGTCAGCTAAAATGTGGGATGTATTTCAAGTTTCCACAGAAGATAATGTGTCGGGTTCGGAATTAGCCTGCTGGAATGCCTGTTTCTACGTCACCAGGATTGCTCTTTGCATTGTGCTGTTCACGCTTGTGTTCTTTACATCTGCTATTTCAAAATTTACATTTCTTTTAATGACTGCTAATATATTCCCTGGAAACAATGCAACCAGACTGAAAAGTTTAGGTGGAAATCTGTCTTACTCAAGCAGATTCACCGACATTAACTGGATATGGGGAATATTAATCACAATCTCAGCACCTTACCTTTTCACGGTGTTTAAGTACTCGTGGGTTTTTCTCTTCAAGAAGACATGGCCTCTTCATTTGAATACTCTCTTGGTGGTAAATATATAAATAGATAGATTTCTATTGTTAAATTTAAAAAAGTGTATGACTATCACATTTCATGTCTAAAGACATTTTGTTTTTCTTTTGTAGGCATTTTTCACCGAGACGTTACATTCGATTGGACTATGTACATTCACATTGGTGGTGTTACCGAGTTTTGACCCAATCACAGCATGCATTCTTTGTTTCAGTATATCTACAATTCCAGGGATTCTAAAAATTATTTTCCCATCCAGAGACCCCCAAAACATTAAAAAGCCAGGAAAAGGCGTCTACACAGCCCAAGTAGCTATCAACACATTAGCTGCTTTGTGTCAGTTAGGTTCTGTAGCATTATGGTGTTACTATATTTATCTGTCCCACACTAACAACTCTATAATTTTGATCATTCTGGTTATTCTATCCCCAGTTTTGATATCGATTTCATGGTGGGAAAATTTTGTATCACAACCGAAACCAGATAAATTCAGTAAAAGTGATTCAAATCCAACCGAAACACCTTCAATGTTTTCTTTTCCCCTCCTTCAGAAAAATATGAGAAAAGAAAGAGTTAGAATTGGGATCATTACAAATCTATGGAAAATAATTTTGACCTTAATTATAATGCCAAGTGTTTTGTTTGGGGCTAGTTGTAAAGACGGACAGGCTTGTATCAGGACATTTTTCTTTCAATCAGCACCAAAAGCTGAAATTATACGAATAGCCTCCTCCAATCTCACCATGAATGGACAATATGGAGACAAATGTGTATCGTACTTACCATATATGGTAGCTTTAACAAATGTTATATCTAGCATTATTTGCTACAAATGTGTAAAAGCAGCGAGTAAAATTCTGGCCCAGAAACTTTGTTTTGCTTTGCCCATTGTCCTCTCTACGCCAGCTGTTCTTGGTTTATTTTTCGGAATATACTCTCATACACTGAATCCAGAAATCCCTCCTTCAGAAACGTTGACACTTGGGACATGCATTTTTCCACTACCATATGGTTCAAACAACAATGTCGACCCATCGATTCTCTTTGAGCTTGTGGAATTCTACTGGCCTGCACTTGTAGCAGGGATTTCGGGATTTTTATCCTTCCTGATGATTTCTAATCATATCTGGTCACCAAACAAGGAGCGATTGATTCCAACAGATCGGTAAATGGAACAGTTTTGAAGAAACTGGAATAGTTCTTTTATTTCAATCATAACATAGAAAGGAATGTTTTATTATGCTTTATATTTGCAGGCTATTTGTCCGTGCATTATACTGTGGCGCATTCCTAGATCAGGCTTTATTTCTAAACCGTAGACGGATTGATAAAGAGTTAAAAATTGAAAAGAACGTGCGTATATTTCACATTGTTATCTAAATAGTTGCTTTATATAAAGTAGAAAGCTTGTTCGGTAGAAAGAAGCTAGTAAGGTTATGATTCATTAGATATGTTGCAATAGAATTGACTTAATCATGAAAAATAGGAAGCAAAGATACATGGTCTCTTAATTAATATAATCTTAGAATGAGAACAACAGAAAATAAAAACACGCCCAACAGAAACGATAACTCTCTGTAAATCATAATTAGAAAGAAACTAAAGAAGTGCCATTGCCTGACGACAATGATGATAATTCTGAAGAGAAGAATTGGTCAGAACTCCGGGAGGATGATACGCCAATGATCTATATGTGTGCAACAATGTGGCATGAATCAGAAACCGAGATGGTGCAGATACTTAAGTCCATTTTCAGGTAAACCCGAAAAAAATTGTAATGGTACTGATCATATCACATGAAAGAAAACGATTGGATCGTAATTAATATCATATATATATTACAGACAAGACATTGATCAATGTGCGAGGAGAAATGTGCAGATTGGATTAGGAATTAAAGATCCAGATTACTATGAATTCGAAGGTTTGTTAAAGAAAAAACAAATTTTCTTTTTAAAAAAATTCTGATAGCGTTAACTAGTTAAAGTGATACGATCTCTAGCTTTGGTGCATATTACAATGGCCAGAAATTACCTTGCAATCGAGAATTCTTTCCTCATTGTCCAGAGTTTACCATGTGTATTAGAAAAGCAACATGAATGCCTAATTTCAAGGCCCTATGGTTTGCCTCTCTCCCTAAAGGAAAAAATACAAGCAAGCCATATATGGTCTTTCCTTTACATGTTGATAATTTAGTAAGAAAGTTCAGATGCCTTCAAAGTTCTGTCTTTTTAACAATGAATTGATCGTATTCAACGAAATATGAAACAAGCCAGTCATCCTAAGACTTTTATATTTATTATTCGATTCGATTATAGTAGTGGACAGGTATTCATCACAGACATTCATTTGCAACAGATCGACAAATCATTTCGTAGATATTTGTAATATTTATATATCAGGTTAGAAGAGATAAAATAGATTTAACTATTCAATTTCAGCCCATATTTTCTTTGACGACGCGTTTGAAGCACGTGCGGATGGCCAAGGGCGATTCAAGATAAACAGCTATGTGAAACAACTCATCAATTCTATACCTATAGCAGCTCGGTATGTTACATGTAAAATTCAAGATCAGAATTTAGAATTTAGGGGGGTTTTTTAGAGAAAAAAGTACATGCATGTAGCATTTAATATTTGTTTTTCAATATAAGAATAACACTTTTCCAATTCATAACAATTGTTTTGTTGCTTTTTTAAAGATCGGTATATGGAAGAAAACAAACAATTCCTTCACCTAATTGTATGGATACGCCATATGGAGGGCGTTTAGAATGGAACCTTCCGGGTGGTAACAATCTTATTGCCCATCTCAAGGACAAAACTAAAATACGTCACAGAAAGAGATGGAGTCAGGTATTTGAAATCCCTGAATGAAATATAAAAAAATCATAATAAGGGAAATTTGAATACTAGTATTATGTAAAGGATATTGTCTCGATTTTTTGCTTGAAAGAGTGATATGGGCAGTTTTACATATGGGTAATTTAAAGTTTATTATACAGGAGTAAAAATCCAAAATACTTTGAAAATACATGTAAACGTGAATATCGAATTTCCTAAGTTGTTATCAGTAGCGTTTCATTATTTTTGGTAGTTTCTCAAACTATTTTCAGGTGATGTATATGTATTATTTTTTGGCCTATAAATTGATGAATATTCCGAGAAAGACAAGGAGACAGAAAAGGACAATAGCAGAAAATACGTTTCTTCTGGCGTTAGACGGTGACGTGGACTTTCAACCCAAAGCCGTTCAGCTTCTTGTGGATAGAATGCGTAAGAATCCTGACGTAGGGGCAGCTTGTGGAAGAATACATCCAATAGGAACAGGTTGTTACTTCTTTTGACAAAAACCAAAAATACAACTGTTTTGCCCATAATTTTTTTTCAAAAAGTAAGATTTCCTTAGATTCAGAGGAAGCTCACTCCTCCATGGCACCTGATTCCACCTCTGATATTTATGGAGGTCCGTGTTTGCTCTGTTCCAGATTTGTATTGTTTAATGGACTTGAGCTTGACATTTCCATAGATTTCATTCCTCATCTTATGATTCCATTCTAATAGGTCCTATGGTGTGGTATCAGAAATTCGAGTATGCTGTCAGCCATTGGCTCCAGAAGGCAGCAGAGAATGTTTTGGGATGTGTGCTTTGTAGCCCAGGCTGTTTCAGTCTGTTTCGTGGTTCTTCCCTGATGGATGACAATGTCATGGCACGATACACAACACGTCCGACAGAACCACAACATTATGTTCAATACGATCAAGGTGCTGGCTTTTTTGACTATCAATTTTGGCTTTTTTGACTATCAATTTATATTAAATGGATTATTTCATTGAATTTTATAATAATTCATAATTGCTGAGTTCACATATCTTTTCATGAATAATTTTAGAATTTCAATGGTAAAAATGTTAACTACCTTAATTAAGGCAAAGATCACATGAAGATCGTGTTTCGAAACTTGTTGAACTTTTTTCAGGAGAAGACCGATGGCTATGTACGTTATTACTGCAGCAAGGATACAAAGTGGAGTATGTAGCCGCCAGTGATGCTTTAACATACGCACCAGAAACTTTCAATGAATTTTACAACCAGCGCAGAAGATGGTCTCCGTCAACAATGGCAAATGTATTGGATCTTCTCATGGATTGGAAAAACGTCACAAGGAAAAATGAAGACATTTCTAAGCTGTATATTCTGTATCAGATGTTTTTGATGATTTGCTCCATTTTAACTCCTGGGACAATTTTTCTGATGATTCTAGGGGCTATAAGTATGGCGTTTCCTGCTATCCCACCAGTCGCTGGGATGGTGATCAATCTAGTACCCGTCACTGGAATGGTTATACTGTGTTTTACTGCAAAACCAAACTTCCAAGTTATTATTTTTTTTATTTACTTAACTAGCAATGTAATACTTTTCGAAATCTCCTTCTTTTTATATTTAGGGGTTATTTATTCTATTCTTGTTTCCTGTTCTAAAGCTAGCCTATGCGGCGGTTGTATCGACGATCTATTCGCTACTGATGATGGTAGTCTTGGTCGGTCTGTTAGTGGAGGCTGCCACGGCAGGGTTCTGTTCTGTCACAACTCTGTTTCTCTTGTTTGTCGTCGGTGTCTTCCTTGTTTCAGCCGTTGTTCATCCTCAGGTAAAGCTAAAAATCCTTTGAGTGTTCACCGCTTTCGCAATAAAACCACTTATATTTTTGAGTTTTAATTTATAAGCTGTTTAGATAAAGGTCCGTTCTTTTTTTTTTTATCCCGGACAAAGGGTAAACATAGCGAATAGTGATCAATCTCAAACAATCTATAAACAATACATAATTGTGAAGAAGGCATAATCACGGGCCCCTGGGAATTCCAGAGATTGAATCAAGTGCCTTGAAGGTGGAAACATCCACCGTCGACCTATCACACTCTTTGTGAGCAAAGTCATTATAATAACACAATTATCAAAATGGTAGCCTTAGACAAATGATCTATTTGTAAATACTAGTAAACCTTAAAATGCATTTTATTCATATTATTATATGAAAACTTCTGATAGAATTTATCATGGTAAAATTATCAGGATATTTTTTTCAAAGGAATTTTATTGTGTCCTTCATGGCTTCATTTATTTCCTGTCCATTCCGTCCATGTCTATGCTGTTAATGATCTACTCCCTCGGCAACCTTCACGTGGTGTCATGGGGAACACGTGAAACCAAGGAAGTGCAGCCACAACAGACAGCTAGAAACGTCATCTTACAGGATAACAAAACAAAATCTAACAGGCTTGTGGAAACCCTTGGTTTTGGAACAAATGGCGGAAAATCTGATTATCTTTTTTCGTGCGGAAAATTCATTAGGTAAAAAATGCTTCGTTTTTCAATGTTTCAAATGTTTTAATTTTAAGTTATATGTGTCCATACTGAAGTTTTGAAATTTTCACTACAAACGAAATGGATTTGACTACCAGGTTAAATTATCTAAAAGTAAATATTTCATTACACTGCACTTTACTAGTATTGTATATTTTCTTTATTCATTTATTTAATTTGTAATCCACATTCAGATGCTGTCCAACCAAGAAGCCAAATGAACGACTATTCCAAGTCTTACTTGATAGACTTGACGACATAGAAGCCCAGATCTCTAAGGATTCACAGGGGCCGGACCAAGAAGAGAATTTGGAATCTGCAGAGGAACTCCATTTCACGAAACAGAACGTAATGATAGATGGGGCTATCGTTAGAGGCATGTTTATCATTTATTTAAAACTACTCGACGTTAAATTCATGAAATAAAGCAAATTACCCCGAACGAGTAATTGCAACTGGAATACCTTCATTTTGTAGAAAACCCAATGTTTAATGATGAAGAAGAATTCAAAAACAAAGAAGCATCGAATTCTTGGATTAGTGACGAAGATTTAAAAAAATGTCCGGTGAAATCTCTTGGAATGGATGAAATGGCGTTTTGGCAAGAATTTATACCAAAATATCTACAACCACTGGCCCAAGATAAAGAGCATGAGAAACAGGTCGAGTCATTGTCATTTAATAATACTTTGAGTACTTATTCAAGCCTTCGGATATATTTCAGACATCCATTTAGTTGCATAATTTTTATCAATAGAAATTTATTCGTCGAAATATGCTCAAAACATTTAGATTTATCAGCTACACCCAAACGTAAGGGGGAAAAATGATTATATTCTCAGATCATAGTAAAGCTTTTGTATATATCAATTAATGTTCGTTTTCATTGTTGAGACAAATATTTATTATCTCAAATGTAAGAAGACTTAAATGCTTAAAAAATCAAAATTTACTGACAGCCCATTGAATAACGTGTAGTAGTTATTTTTTCCTCTTTTACAGATGCAACAAGGTCTCATCGAATTAAGAAATAAAGTTTGCCTTGGTTTTCTGTTGATGAATGCCCTTTTCGTGACGATTGTATACGTTCTTACGGAGGTCAACGCGACTACTAACCAAACACTCTCAATTAAACTCCCATGTACGGTAGGGGAAGGGCGACCAGGGCGGGGCTATATTGAACCCATATCATTCGCTTTTACAGCTGTATTTGGAATCATGTTATTCTTACAGTTCATCTGCATGCTTATGCATCGTATGTCGACGTTCATCCACATATCTGCTTCTACACAATTTAATCTGAGCAAGAGATTACAAGATTGGTTTTACCCCAAAGAACAAGGTTCCCCAGATATCGGTGTGGAAGAAGGGTTAGAGGTTGTAAAACAACTTCAGGCAGTAAAGGAAGATGACACGATATCTATAATGTCCCAAGATACAAATTACAGCGAGGACTCTTACACACGATCCGGGAATAAATCGAGAGAGATGTGGAAAAGATACACAAGAAGATTGCGAGAAAAGACCAGCAAACAGCCGCAAGAACTACGTGCGAATTTTGCAGACAATTTAGAGACACTTACAAAAGCCTTAGAAGTAGGAGATGATGCAAGTACGAGAGGTATGCGCGAAGAAAGTAATTTTAATGTACATGATGACAAAATATCCGAAGTTCAGAAATTATTAAAGAATAGATTCAATAGAAAGACACTCAGTGCGGTTAGAACGATAGCAGAAAATCAAGTCCGTACGCAAGAAATTAAAAGAAGGGCCACAGCTTTAAAAAACAGGAAAAAAATACATGAAAGTCGGTGGAATGATTTTGCCGAAAGAGGAAAACTTGACAATGAACGTAAAAACAAAGGACAGACCGGGAGAATAAGTTTTGGATTTGCTTCTGTTGCTACGGCTGCAATGGCCCAAGAAAATCGAAGACGTCTGGAAGAAAGCGACGAAATTCTGGAAACAATTAATGAGAACGATGGCACAGTAATCCAGCAAGAAAAGAAGAGCATCAGCTTTGCATCTGTTGCTAAAACTGCTTTGATGCATAAAAATGAAAAACATATAGAAGAGACATTGGTAGTATCGAGTAATAACACCGAAATGAAAGATAATTTAAAAGATGCTACAACAGAAAAAACAAGCACAGTTAGGTTCGCCTCTATTGCCAAAGCTGCAGTGACCCAGGAAAGACAGAAAAATCTTGAAAATACGGGCCATGATCAAGTTAATGAAGATAATTTTAAGGAAAGCGGCAATACAAATGCTGGTGCATCTGTAGAGACAGGAAGTTTAGGTCAAGTCTCGGAAAAGTCAAAGGAAAACTCTTCAGAAGATAAAAACGATTCTGAAGATGAAATAAAATCTAATGAGGATAAGTCAGATAATCAGCAAAATGAACAAGAAAAAGCTGTACCAAGTGCAGAATCATGTTACCTATAGAATTCAATATGGGTATTGACAAACATGTGATTTCATTTTTTCTATTTGATTTTTTTTATTTATTTAGTAATCTTTCTTCAAAAATACTCATAATGAGATCAATCATTTCGAGCTTCGAATGTATCCCATTTTCGATTCTTGTCAGAGATATAGAATCGATTGGAATAAATTTTATATAATCATGTATTTCGCTATAAGATCGCAAGAAATCATACCTCGCATACGAACACCGTTATTTTTTCCCAAATATTCATACTACATGTATATAAACACTGTTATAAGAGGAAAATAATAGTTTAAAAATGTGTTGGAGAAAAACTACATTACCATTGAAACAAATTTTATTGATAAACTTAAAAACTCTTTTTATGTTTCTCTATTCAAACCGTTCTTTAAATGGATGATAGCATAATATGTAGCAATTGTTATATACAAAAATTCAATATTTTTTATAGTATGAAAGCAAAATTATGCACTGAAATCGCTAGTATACTGATGAAAAACAAGTGCAATACACGTGTAATTATTGTGAATTCAAATGTTGTTTAACCCTATCTTAGCATACAGCCATTTTTTCGATAAAGGTTTAATTCTGTTAAAAAGCTATTTATGATTATTAGAATGAATATATTGGACGTGCGTTTTTTGTATCCATGTTTACAAAAATTTAAATTTACATATTTTTTGGTCTCACAATCGTTAAGTTATCCGAAATTACAGTAGAAGGGAAGTTAAAAGGTAGCTGAATTTTTATACCCATACATAGTTTACTTTGTACATATTTTTAGTCATTACTTATTTTTTCAATAACACTGTCAATACCCCCGTTTCATTTTGTCGAGTTTTAAAACGTTGTTGCATTTTCCTTTCGCAAAAAGATCAGCAAAATTATTTATATCATCCTTGCTGGCCAGGGATTTCCGATCAGAAATCGACTCTACGTTGTAAAGTAGATTTCGGATCGGAAACCTTTCTTCTTCAGGCAGCAATTAAGCAAACGGTATTTTGTGTCTCACAATTGATTCAATATACAAAATCATATTCTATGAACGGTCAATTTCGAAAACAATGCATGCTTCTTAGAATAAGCTGATGATACAAGGATTTCAACATTCTCGTTTTAAAATAACATCTATCGTGGACTCACTAATAATGGTGACTTTGCTCATTATTTGTAAAAATAATAATCGCTAAAATAAACAAATGAACTTCTCTGAGCAAAATGTGCCTGAATTCCGTCCGTCACTCTGCCTGTTGTCTGTTTTCTGTAAATTATTCCCATTTTCAAATTAAAAGCACCGAGGTCATAGGAAGTGTCACGCAAAAGGAGATAATTTAGAATTACAGAAAATTTGGCGGCATCATTTTAAAAACATTTCAAGAACCGCTGGGTAAGAAAAAGATGAAACTTAATGTAAGAGCAAAATAAATTACATATTTCAAAATGAATGAAGTACGTTCCTATTATATTACTCAAGGGTAAGGTGAGGCCACAACTAGTTCACAATCCACTGTTTTCTCAGACGTCAGCGTCGAATTGCTCCCATCCATATCGTTGTCTACAGTCCAGTGAGATCTGACGACGGATTTTCCTGTAATTTCCCAATCATTAGAAGGAGCCCACGGTTACTATGTTCTCTATGGTTGACTAAAAGAAAAGAAAACAATTCTGAATACTGGTAGTTCTAGAATATGATTTTGATTTATCCAAGAGGGTGCTTACGAGGGCTGTTCAATAAATAATGTCCTCGGTGCTCAGAAAGAAGCAAAAGACGCTTTTCAATGATGTAGTCTTCATGATTTTACTTATTAATCTCTTTTAAGTAAAATACATGTCCTTAACATTTTTTTTTCCAATTTCTGATTGTTTTTAGAACTCATTTTTGGGTATAACCCTTAGTATACTGGAAAATGGCAGATCCAGTGATTTCCCGGACTTGTTTCTTCCTTCTGAAAGGTGTTTTTTTCAAGTTTGGAAATAGAAACAAGTCAAAAGGTCAAAGATCTGGCGAATATTGTTAATGTGAAAAAACATTAACTTTCTGTTTATCCCGAAAACCCCTTTACTCTTCAGGGCATGCGGGTTTGGACGCTGTCATGAAGAAATTCATTGTAGTGGATTCCTGTTTCTGGGTCCTTTCTCTAATAAACCTTTTGATTTTTTTGCAAAAAATTGCTTTCTAGACACCTCCAGAAATTAAACTGTCTCTCCGAATACGAATTTGAACAACAATACCACTAATTTTTAAGAAAATTACATATAAATCTGTCTTTGTACTCTTGCATACCTGTGCTCTTGTCAGACATTCGCCGTTTTTATCAAGTACATCTTATGGTAAATTTTGTTTTTAGGGTTTTAAGCAATAGATTCATGTTCCAATATCTGTTTGAAAATAAAACAAACGTGGATTACTACAATTACCGATATTTCAAAATAATTGTTAAGAATTTCGTATCCGTTTAAAACTGCTTTGTTTATTTTTTCTTGAACTTGAATCTCTAAGACATATGTATGTAGTTGTCGTTTTTACTCATTTTTCAAAATATAGGGTGACCTTCGAGTACCTTTGAGTCAGTGAATATTTCTTTGGGATTTTAAACAAGTTTTACGGCAGCTTTAATGAAGCTTTTATTTTTACTCTAGTTTACTGATTCTTTACCATTCATTTATAATGCAGTGTCTCGAATAGCCCTTGTTTCCCAGCTTCTCACGATGAAACTATGTGATGAAAAGTGGTCACATAAACTGTTATAAATTCATGAAAGATTCAATAATGAGAGAAAGTCAAGTTTAATGTCATATGATATCTGTAATGTATGTCATATAGTTCCGGTCATTATTTATTGAACAGCCCTCGTAATTATCAATTTTTTGAATACTATCTAACCTATATATTAATGTTCAATTTGCAAAAAAGACTCTGAAATCATTACCATTTTTAATCTTTTATTGTTTTATTTCCTCTAAAATTCAGGAAAAAAGACTGAATCAACAAAAACGACTGGCAGTTCAAAACATACAAGATGTCTGCCATTATAATTTGATAACAGCATACAGATCGAGTCCTTCAGTAAAATACTGACATTGGAAAGGGTTTCACTTTTGGCACATAAGCAGTTGTAATTTTATTCACTCTGAACAGCTCTATTGCATCAAATAGATAAAAAATTAAAATATTAACTCTTAAATTTTCTAATGTTTGAACAGGGTAGAGATCCTATATACCATATCTGTACTTGACAATACAGAGTTACGATCATTTCACAAGATACAGAGCTAAAATGAACATTGTTTATAATTTGACACATAAAAAATCACCATAATATAGAAGGCACATTATAATTGTAGAATAAATACAATGTCAAAATAAATACACATTGTACATTAACTAACATAAGTAAACACATGGATTTCCTGTTTACCTAAATGTATGACTTTACAGGTACCCCTTACAGTTAAAGTCACATTGAGACATTGTGACAATTGGAACAAAACATAAAAATAGTTAAAATATGGGGGGGGGGGTATACAGAGTTGGTAACAGCAGTCTAATAAAATGATTCAATGTTGATATGATATTGTAGTTGTTTTACCCTCATAATTTAAGTATATAGAGTACTCATACACACTAAAGGTTGTTTAATATAATACTGATCTTTCTATCACTGACCTTTTCAAAACTAAACCTTTGTTCCTTCAGAATTACAATCCTTTCTACCTTGATAAAACTATTCAAATGTAGTATATGTGCAATGTCATTCAAGCTGTATTACTTAACTGTCTACAATACTGTCATGTTAACAAAATTAATGGCAAAAATCCACTTACAACCAATTTTGAATGTATGCAGACAATGATAACCACTGGTATTTCAAAATTTAAACCTACATCTACAAGACACATTATGGGACTAAGTAAAGTAACATTAAAAAAATTAGGAAGACTCCATTCACCCAATTATTGTAAAAAAAAAATGCATTTCTTTTTTATATAACCCTTACAATATAAAATTGTTCATAATAAAACATATCTCTACTTTGCAATACCTAGAATATTAAGAAGCATCCATTCTGAAAACTAATGAAATATGATGATCATGCTAATAAAAGAGGTGAAAAATAATGTGATACCTAATTACAGCAGGGGAAAAGACATTTGAAATCAAATGTTCAAAAATGTACTTTTAAACAAGAAAATAAACATTCTTCATTTTTATTAATATATAATATATATTAAAATAAAATATAATATTTCCAATAATAAAACAGAACAACCTTATTGCAGTTACTGCAATACTCAAATTATGTGTACAATGACTTGAAAATGAATAAAATTCCTCCGAGTGTGTGAAGACAGAAGCAGAACTTCACAATTCAGTGGCAAGACAAATGGCCAACAGTTTGTGTTCTTCAGGGCTCGAGCTGTGATTCGCCATTGTCGCCAATTGCGAATTTTTTTCAAAAGTGGCGAAAAGAAATATATTAAACGAAAATTAATTTTTTAAATTATAAAAATTTGTGTATTTTAGCTCCTTTGTTTATTCAATGTACTATAAGTCCCTTTGTTTACTTAATGCAGCAGAGGTGTCTCTATATAACCTACATACAGGAAATCACGTCTCGCTTGAACACAATGCTGACTAAGGATTTATATAGCAATAAAGGGTTACAAAGTTGCTTGAAATAATATAATTTGGATTAAACAAGGGGGGATAAAGTGTTATTCGGAGATGAAGTTTGTAAATAAAACATTTTTATCAACAAAATCTGTCTATGTAGATGCCTTTTTTTTAAACCGAAAGTAGGGAAACATGACGAAAATTGTAAAGAATGGCTTCAAATTTTTAATGTAAATATAAAAAGCGTACATTAATATACCATTAACTGACAAAGAGTGAAAAAGAAATTGGTTTGAAAACAGAATTATCTTTATTTAGTAAATTACACTGAGTTATGTACAATAACAAACTTGCATATTAAATTACATACAAGTTGTTAAGTTTCAAACCTAACTTTCATTAGTTTTTAATTTACTTCTTTTCACAATTAATTAATGAAATGATGAAAATTTCTATTTTTAAAAAATGTCATATTTTTACTAGGTCTGCAAACCCCCCCTCCTTCCCAGGCGAAAAAATATAAACAAAACATGTGTTGCAAGAGTTGGCCGATATCAATACAATATCAAATTAATTGTGTAATTTTAACATTATTACTTTTTTTCTTTTTAACCAAAATGGATACTACCATAAGCAATTTAAACATTACAATTTTAAAACAATATCTGTGTCAGATAAACATAATAAAAAAATTGAATAACAAAAAGTACATTGCATTGCCGCAGAAATAATGTAAGTATGCCTTTTAATAAAGCTTGTGTCGCGAAAAGTTGCAAATACTATGCCAGTGGGAGCCCTGGTGTTCTTTGTATAATTTTTCTACCAGTAATTTGACAACAATGCATACCTATGTAAATATCTTGAACAAACTATTGCTAAATTATAAAAATATTTGATTTTATAAGTATCATCTGCAATACTATAATTTGAATGAATAATATATTTCTAACAGTAGTATATCATGAATTAACTGGTTTACTTACTTTTATTTATAATTCATAGACTTTGGGAGATTATTTACAGATAGACAGATGAACAAGTGGGCCACAGGCACTAAACCAGTACGCAAGCTACTTCTTCAGTATTTGAACGTTCAGACCATTTTAACACAGGAATCATTTAAGCAATGATACATTTAAACATAGTCACTCAAACACATGAAGAAATTCCTGAGGTATATATACATACAATGAAAATGATTAATTCATTCATAGATTTGTAAATAAATAAATTCTAAGTGGAACTGTAATCAGAGTTCATCGTGATCTAATGGACTTTTATCACTTTCAGATTCCTGCAAAAGAATATACATTGTACATTTATAACAATTCTTTGGTAATTCAAAGCATCAATGAAGGATATGATTGGCAAAAACTTTGTTGTTTTTGAAGATGATGGCACATTTTGGCTCAGACTTTTTGAAAAATACTATGCAAAATTTCTTATCTACATGTAGATGTATATAGGTATGCCACTGAATAGTGAAGAGCTGTTTGTGTACATTATAAAAAACATGTCATTTTTGGATGGAGAAATGTGCTCATATTTCAATTTCTTGATAAAGGAAATCAACTACAAAGTGTACACATTCTCTGCAAAACTCAAGAAGGTTGCAATTTCACAAAACCTATTTTTCTGGACTCTGAAGAGAAACTTTGTTATAAGGAATAAAAGCATTTAGTCTCTACTTTTTAGTAATGTTTGAAATGAAACATACGGTGATAGTCACTGATTTGGTAGGTGGACAGGGCAATTTCATGCATTTAGTGAACCTAACTCTTTTTCTTTTGATAAATAGGTAGGCATTTGATAATGAAGTGCTGCGTGAAAGATTAGTTCAGAAAATAATTGAGTTTTCCACATTTAATAACACATTATAAATCCTATTACCTCTGACACCTGGGGAAGTATATCCTGGAGATACTCAATGAGCTCCTGGGCTTCATACATCTCTACTTCCTCTCCATATGGATGCTGAAATTGGGAAATCAATCACTTTAAAAAATATCTCCCTAACAAAAGATATCACTGTATAAAACTATCTTCCTAAAACAACGACTTTTGTAGTTAACCTGTGCATCCTGTCCTGGACTGACCCCTCTGTATAGTCTAATGGAGGGATAACCTTGAAGTGCCACCTGCTGGCAAAGGCTCTGATCTGCATCACAGTTAACCTTCCCTACTCTTAAACGTCCCTTTAATGTCTGCAAAAAGTCATACAGAAATCGTGAGAAACATCAATTGAATTTTCTTGGTACAGAAGTCCCATTATTACATGTATCTACAATGAAAACTGAAAATATTAAGACATTTCTGAAGACAACTTCTTTTAAAAAATATTATATAACTTACTTTAGCCACAACCTCAATCTTTGGTCTGAACATGTGGCAGTGATTACACCATGGTGCATAGAAGTCTATCAGCCAGGGTTTGGAGCTCCGTAACACCTTCCAGTAAAATGTGTTTTGGTTTATAGGCTCCAGATTGGAGGGCACCAGGCTGGACTCAAACATCCAGGCTATGATATTGACAGCATCTCTAGCCCAACTATTGTAATGACTGCAATGTAAGGGTATATTTTAAAATCAAATTTCAATGGATATACAACCATCACAGTATTTAATACATGTGTATAAATGGTGTCCCATAGATGTAAAATTTAACAAAATTTTCCTTTTTTGTAACAAATTCTTATAATCTCAAAATTTAAGGTCACCTGAGTATCATGTAACAACTTTCCAACAATTGAATTTGGTTTGTGTTTTAAACCAGAGGCCATGAAATTCTGAAAGTTTGGAAAGAGGCACCATTGCTTATCATAATTAACTAAGCATGCTTACTCTATTTACTTAATACCCAGAGGTAGATCAGAATAACAAAGAGAAAATGCACTTCTACTTTATAACCAGTTGTGCATCCCAACCCAAAGGAACCACTGACCCTGGGGCCACATATTTAAAAATTTTGGAAATTTCATCATAAATGATTGATTAATACAAAGAGCAGATTTCAAAGCATTAATTTATTTTCATACTATGTAACCCCACCCCCCCCCCTCGATACCCCTGACCCAGGGGGCAGGAAATTAACCATTTTGCTAGATGCACCTTCCTTCATCATAAATATATAAACTTGGATCATTAGCATAATACCCAGGAGCAAAGAAAACAATTTTCAAAGAATAAATGTATTTTCAATATATAATCAAAAAAGCCCTCCCCCCTTACACCAAATGGCAAAACACCTGAAACAAGGGTCAAAAAATTCACAAATTTGAATGAGGCATTATAACTATATACTAAGTTAGTTTATTTAATACCCTGGAACAGAGAAAACAATTTTGAAAGAATTAATGCATTTTCACAATATAATCAATAGGGCCCCGCCCTAACACCAGAACCCCTGGCCCAGGGGCCAAAAAATTCACAATTTTGGAAGAGGCACTCCTGCTCATCATAGCTATGCACTTAGTTAGTTTATTTAATACCCAGGAGCAGAGAAGAAGATTTTCAAAGATTTAATGCATTTTCACTATATAATCAATAGAGCCCCGCCCTAGCACCAGAACCCCTGACCCTGGGGCCATAAAATTCACAATTTTGGAAGAGGCATTCTACCCCATCATAACTATGTACTTAATTAGTTTATCTTATACCCAGGAGCAGAGAAGAAGATTTTCAAAGATTTAATGCATTTTCACAATATAATCAATAGAGCCCCACCCTAGCACTACAACCCCTGACCCTGGGGTCATGAATTTCACAATTTTGGTAGAGGACTCAGTGCTCATTACATTCACACCAACAGTTTGCCTGCTTTATGTCCAGGAGTAAAGAAGAAGATTTTTAAACATTTCATTAATTTTAGTGATTTTGGCCCCACCCCTCAGGCCCCAGGGGGGTGGGGACCATAAAATTCACAATTTTTGTTCCACTTCACCCATAGATGCTGTATACCAAATTTGGTAGAAATTGGTTCAGTGGTTTCAGAGAAGAAGCTGAAAATGTTCAAATATTAACACACGATGGACGACAGACGAAAACGGATAGCAGTAGGTCACCTGAGTGACTCAGGTGACCTAAAAATTGTAGAGACATTGTAATTTGTCTGTAATTAAAGTGTTATTGTGTTCATCCAAAAACTTTTGGATCCCAAGGTAAGTTTTGTATTTTAATGCTTCCCTGAGTGTGTTCACCAACCATACTTAATGTATTTTACAGAAATTTTGTACAATGTAACAAATTATGGATGTAGCAATTCAATTCACAGGTGCTCATGACTTCACTTTGACCAAGTTAAACTGTCTTAATGGTATCTTGACCTTGAATATGCTGGTAATCTAGATCACTGACTAGGGGTTTGACAATATACCGATACACCGATACATATCGATATTTTCCTCTAAGATACGGTTTATGATACAAGCATTCAAATATCGGTACGAAACGATACATGAACGACCTATCCAAAAACTGAAAATGAAAGTACATGTTCTTGGAAAATGGCGGCTTGTACGAAGCGAAGAGATGATGATATTAAAAACATGCTGTAGAACTAATAAGTCGTTGATTAGGGGTAAAACGTTTTTACTTTTAAGCAGCCTCGGAGGGTTGGACAATAAAAGTTGAGTATGTAAAGCGTGCTTTACACACAGCATTGCGAGTGGAGACGAGTAGTGAAATATTTTTCTTTTCCCAATTAACGGTTCATCAAAATAATTTTGCCATGTGAAAACGATGGTATTGTTTCCAGAACATTTGATATTAATTTATCATTAATTGTTAGTCCATCTTGTGCTTTTTTGTAATGTCAACTAGCCTACAGACTTTCAGCAATTGATTAATAATGTAAATGTGATTTTTTTCAGTTTTCTTTATGACTACACAACTGTTTGTAAACAACTTTTTAGAAAGTAACAATAATATGTACATTTATTATTGTTTCTGTAAAGTTTTAGTCAATAAAATTGAAGAACTTGAAGGATTAATTTCAAAGCACACATGATTTTATATAGTCTAAGAATAATTAGTTGATTTAATGTCAAGACATAAAAAATGAAATGAAATACTTATTCTTTTTTTAGTTTTATAAACATGTAACAGTTGTTAATAGAAATGAAATAAAATACTTTTTAAAAATAGTTTTATAATTTATCATAATACAGTATAACAATAATATGTACATTGCAGGAAAAAATTATTGAAAATTTTTGTACAAGTTCATTATTTACATAATATAAAATATAAAAATGATGAAATCAACTTCAAGGATTAATTTCAAAGCACACATGATTTTATATAGTCTAATATAGCCTACTATATATAATCAGTTGATTTAATGTCAAGAACTTTTAATTTTTATAAAAAAATGAAATGAAATACTTATATATTTTTTGTTTAGTACATATTTATTCTTTTTTATAATTTATCAGTTAAAACAAAATTAACAGTTGATACTAGTAATTTTTTTTAATGTCACCGCCGCGTTTCACTGAGTTCGTTTCATGGCAAATGAAATAAAATACGAAAGGTGTTTTAAAAATAGGTGTTTTATAATTTATCATAATATCAATATCCGGATTACACAGAATTTTTTCTAATGAATTTGTTAAAGAAGTGCATGGGACTAAAATATAGACAAATTTTACTGTATCAAGAGCTAATATATACGTATCGTATCGCAAGATCAGTGTATCGTCCCACCCCAATCACTGATCCCAAAACCTGTGTTTCTACCATTATGCATGACAATTAAAAGTAGACTTAAAGTGCTTTGTAACTCACTAGAACTGAAGCAGTCCCTCAGAAGTTTTGCTGTACAATCTTATGGTGGGGTAAGAGTTGACATTTTCAGAGCTGCATAAATCTCCATTGGCTTGGCAGTCCACCTGACCTACTTTAACACCATCCACGTCCTTTAACATCTGCAAAAGGCCAAGAGCTGTATTAATCTATCTACATCTATAGACTTTCATTTCATCTCAAATCTTTACTTATAGTGGAATCAATCTTTAAATTAATTGTAAATCTCCATTGCACATTCCTTTATATTAAAACCCAGAATATGGACTGGCAAATGCAACTCATATCTTGAGAGTCATCTTTCCTTCACTATAAGTAATACCTTAGCCAGCTTCCTCCATTCTGGAGCCAGCTGCTGACAAGGGCCACACCAGGGGGCGAAGAAGTCTACGAACCATGCAGTACTTCTGTCAGTCCCCTGTACCAAATGTCGGAAAGTCCCCCTGTCCAAGCTTACTACAGGGGGGTTTAATGTGTCCTACAACACAGAAAGGTCAAAGGTTGAGAAAAGGTCCCAGAAAACAGATCAATTGAAACAATGTTTTAGATTTAAGGAGGCTGGGGGGTCAACAAATTAACCATAAGATCTAACTTATTTTTTAAGATACGGTATCTTAAGCTGTCAACTATCATTTGGCAAAGAAAAAATTCATACATTTTAGTTTTAAAATTTGATCATTTTTGTATATCTTTATATGGAGCTCTTCTTTTAAAGGAGATCGAAATAGTCTGAAAATGGCTGCCACCCCCCAGCCTCTTTAAAGGAACAACTATCATAAAAAGTACTAAAAATCAAGTTAAGATTTTTGAAGGAATCAAATAAGTCATAGTTTTGTTTGAGAAATATACTGTATTCTTTAAATTCGCCCCGTTTTAAATTCGTCCAGATGAGGTTAGGGTGAAAGGGGTGAAAATAAAACCTTGGTGAAAATTTCCTGGTATACAGTTTATATCATTACCTGTATAGACATATTACCTGTATAAACTGTAAGATATGGAATGAGTCGTGATGACCGTGGTACTGATGAGGAACCGTCTGGTTGTAGAAAATCGTTGTCGGGTAAGAACGGATGTTATACTGCAAACATAAGGAACATAGTCCATTTTTTTCATAATTATTCAATACATACATATAACATCATTAAAAATGATTCCTCGCATATTTGTACAACAAATTCCACAATACATGTATCCTTAAACACAAATTTATGATACATGTAGATCTCCAATTTACTACAGCAATTTTAAATTACTTTCAAAAAATTAAGATAATCAATAACATATATTTCATTCAAATAAAGAGTCTGAAACACAAAAGACTTGTATATCACCCAATTATTATACATGTGTATATTTAGTGTATACATTTAAAATTCATCTCTGTAACTTATTATGAAGCTTAAGTTTGAGGTACTGGTATTTATAAATCTGAATGATACAGATAAATGTCAATTACCATTTGACAGAGGTCACCATGAATTGTACAGTCCACGGTTCCAAAGTTGACCCCACCATCATAATCCCGTGCTGCCTTCCTAAACTCTGGTAACAACCTCATGCATGGAGGACACCACTAAAAACAATTTTTTATTTTTGATTGTTGCAGAAATATCACGGTAGATATAATACAATGTCTTTTCAAAAATAGTTTCAAATTATATTTTTTTTAGCCCAGCATCTAGAAAAAGTACTCACTGGTGCAAAGAAGTCGACAAACCAGGGTTGTTGACTAGAGGGGCCCACTTTGTTTGGGTTAAAGTCATCCGGTCCTAACGACACCAGGGTAGTACTGGCACTGTCCCTGGCAAAGGCTGATACATCAGGTGCTGTATCTCGACCTAAAGATATATTATTTAAATATCAATAAATATTTCTTTTATTTAAGTAACTGTATTCTCTTAATTTTTGGTCCTCTTTAGTTCTTCAGGCAAAGAGTACATTGTTCATGTTTACAGAAATATGATGTCAGTCTTACCATAATAAATTTCATATCCTCCACTTTTTTTAAAGACATAAAAAGAGGGAAACTTATTGACATGGAGTTTTTTACAGATGTCCCATAACTTCCTGCAGTTGACTCTTCCTATCTGTGGGTACATGAAAATGGAGGAGGAAAACACCTTGAGAGTACTGCTATTTCCTAGGTATCAATAATCACTTTCCTTGTTTAGAGTATTTTAGTTAATGTTAAGTTAAACCTGATACTAGATCATTTATTATTCAAACAGCACTGAAAAAGTTAATTCTGAGAATCACACATATAAGGACACAACTTTACTTAAAAAGAATTCTTAAGGTTATTGCTAACACTCTGAGAAGAAACATGGCTAATAATTTCAATATTAACCCTGAACTTAGTATAAGCATTTCTTGATTAATATCAATGTCGAGTCTGAACTGAGAAAGCATGGTAGATAACTTCAATATTTACCCTGAACTCAGGCAGCATGGCTGGTAGTTTTCTGAATTCAATGTCTTGATGTTCCTCCTCATCTACAAAGTGTACTAACCAATCCTTGTCCTGACCCTTTGTCATCTTCCTCACTAGATTCTGAAATAGAGGACAAACCAAAATAAATATTGATGAAATAGATTTCTTCCTCACAGTCCACAATGGCTTGAAGCATTTGGCACCTGTGTACTACTACAGTAATTGTGGAGATCAAAATATTTTTTAAAAGTTGTGCAATGACAAAACAAAGATAATTGAATATATTTGTGCCATCATAAATTCACTATAGTTGTGAAAAAAAGTTCAACTCTTTTTTACTGTTACCAACTTCTTAAATAACAGTAACAACTGGGTATGAAATATTTATTCTTACCTCAAAGACCTCCTTGTCTAAATCTTTGACATCTGGTAACTGAGACATAACTTGAAAGGCAATTTCCTGAGGATCTGATCCTGAGATTTCCTATATCCAACAAAACATAAAGTGTATTTTTATCTTTTTTTTTTCAAAATACAGGTTTAGTAAATGTATTTTTTAAAATCATACACTTTGAGACATGCAAAAAGCAATTAATTGTACTTGTATGCTGGGAAAGAATTAGAGAGAGAGAGAGAGAGAGGCTTCTCACTCACAATGCCTTTATCCTTTGTTACACCATCATGACCATAGTAAAAGATCCCATGCTCCTTTCCAAGTTTTTCACAAAGATTTTCATTGTGTTTACATCTCAGAGTTCCAAAGTTGACCACATCTGCCTATATATATGTCAAACAATTGTATATTCTCTGAAAGCATTAAACTTCACTTAAAAATAGTTTGCAAGAATTACAAATTTTAAAGTTTCTTACAAGAATGGCTGACAGCTTCAATCTATTGGTCCTTGACAAGCAAGCTAAAAAGAAAAGATAAAGAATTTGTTAACTTAAGATACTTGTTTATACTGCACTTGCCATTTGTATATTTAAATTATAAATAAGGATATTAACTTTAATCAATGAAATTTTCTTACATTCCTCTCCACAAAATGCTATCAACCAGGGTTTTTCTGAATTCTCCTCCAAAGATTTCTGAAAATTTCCCTCCCAGAGTTCAATCACCTCGGCTCTGACAAACTTCAGGGCGTGTCTGACCAGGTCACGTGTATTTCTATTGCCATGGTATTTCTCTCTCTAACAAAAGTTTGCATCCAATAAAAAATTATGATGATATCATTAAATTAGGTACAAAAAATTATATAACATTTAAATTGCATTTTTTCAAAAAATGTTCTTCAAGTACAAGTATATTTTCCAATCATATTACATTATACAAGGTTTATTTTTTTAAAAAATACTGAAATAGATGTATTTTCTTACAGCTGGAAACATGACAAGAGATGGGAAGGAATGAATGCCATTCTGTTGACAGAGCATGAAATCATCTTCACAGTTCACTGCTCCGATACGAATCACTCCCTCCAGTTCCTTCGCAAGTTCTCTCCACTGTAAATAGTGCATGCATGAATTTAAAATCAATACTTCCATTGATGAAAATCTCTAATTTCATTACCTTACAGTCAAACTATTGCATTAAGCAAGTCAACTGCAACTACTATAAAACATCTGTTCACAGTAAATAGCTTATCCTATTATGATTCATTCATTAGAGCTTTATTATTTTATAATAAGATCACCCACATATTATGACACTACTTTACAGTGTCTGTTGTATCAGAACATTTACTTACAGTAGGAGCCAACTCGTGGCAGTGTGAACAGTGCGGGGAGTAGAAGTTGATAAACCAAATGTCATCTGTTCCATCAACCGACTGTTCTGAAAATAGTGCATAAAACTGTCTTTATAGTCCTTTACATAGATACAGTAGTGAAATACATGAAAATCTTACCAAATTTAATGGTAAAATTAAAATTGATATTTCCAATTTTATTTGTACATGTATGGTTCATATAAATCAATGAATCATGTAGTTTTGCTAAATATCTTGGAATGTTATACTTAACTTCTCAATCTACATTAGACAAGTATGCTTAATTTCTAGAATGAGAATAGAGAATCTTGATTTACTTACCAAAATCAGACCGACTAAGAGTAATTATTTCTTGGTCATCATCATATATACCTAGAAATCAAAATGAGAGCAAATCAACAAGCAATCTGCATCAATCTAACATTCAAAATTAACTTTTGTAATGATATAATTAAAAAGATAAAGTGTTTTCATATATATGTAAGTTAGCAAGATTCCTGGCCTCAATCAGACATATATATGTCCTTCTATTGGTTCATCTCAGAAAATAAATCTGAATTGGGAGAACAAGTCTTGGAATGGTAATTAAGTTGAGCACTGATACATAAACTGGTTCCCTACCAAACTCCTCGTTATAGAAGCTCCAGCTCTCATACTGCCCTCCTCCGTGGAAGTCCTCCTTCAGTCCCTCCTCTCCGTGAAGGTCATACTTCTTCCTCAAATCCTCATCCTTCAACACTTCATACACACGAGTTATCTTTAAAAATGTTTCATGAGCTTTGGGATCATCCTGAAAACAAATGTCATCGCAAATTAAGCAAGGATTTGTGAAAAACAGGCCAAAAGACCTTGAAAGTCACCTGAGTATCGAATGTTTAATCTATTAAAATTAAGCCCAAACTGAATTTGAAACTCTTGATTCATGTAACGGGGATTTTACAAACTGCTGTTACTAGTTGACTAGGAGTAATTTTTTTTATAATGAATAAGTAATCAACTGAGTCCCATTTTAGGGTCTCTACTCTGGAATCAGCATTTTAAAAAGTTGGTAAAGTGCAAATAGGTAACTACCACCCATACATAAAGTTTGCTTGCTCTATGTCCATAAAAAATGAAACTTTTTATTATAAACTTGTAATAAAGAACCTCAATTTTGGACCCAGGAGAACATGAATTTTCAAAATATAACTTTTTCAAAAGATATTTTATCAAACAGACAAACAAAAAAAATATACATATTAAAACATCAAGAAAAGTAAAGAAATGTTTCAAGCATGATAAAATATGCCTCAAGTCATTCATCATGTCAAAAATCTTGTCTTGTGCTATAAAATGTCCCATGTATGGTGTAATTTAATATAATCTTATATATATCAATAGCATAATATACATGTATACACATGTGTTTCAAGTTATAAGAGATATAAGTGTAACACTGAGACATTACCAGTAAAGATAATTCTTTAGCTTCCTTGTTCCTCTGATAAGAAAAAACTACATGTAAGGTTCTCTCAGTTTTATGGTGATAGGGCCTGGCCTATATTGTTTTACTCAATTTCAGATATTTATAAAATATGTCAAAAAGTACTACATGTGTCAACAAAAATCCATCAGAGCCAAGACTAAATAAACCACGCAATGCGTACATGTACCGATAAAAAATAACTGATGTCTGCTGACTTCATTATCATCATAACTCCATAATTATTTTGTTTATACGGAGTATTTACAGTAATGGATAAATTACGTATGATGACAATTAAATCATACTTCTTTGTTGAATTAACTCTTTCATGTCTGAGGGGAAGATGTGACAGTGTTAGACTGATAATGATGTCTTTAGTCTTTAAGTGAGTAAACAATGTACACTATTTACATTCCGCAGAAGTGTCCCTTATAAACCACAACCTTAATTTACTCCTCATTTTTATCTTATCTACTACGGTCTCAGGCAACAGCATTTTTTTTCTTTGGATGTAGTACATTTTTTTAACTGTATTTATTTTTGAGTTACATTTTCCCACTTTTTACGAATTTTAAAGCTTGATCAAACATAAAGCTGTTTAGCCATATGTTAACTACACAGACCTTTAGTCAGAGATCGAGACACATGCTTCAGTAAAAATATTTAAATGTTGGAGAAAAAATTGTTTGCTTTGTATATCCTTCAACATCTGATGCTTTATGAGGTGTGCAGTACTTAATATATACTTACACAATACACAGACAGAAATGAAAATTGATCAATATCATTCAATTTTTGTGTAAAATATGAGTTGTTTTTGTTGAAATACTGGTAAATATTAAAGCATTCATTTTTCTTTGCATTTTGCAAACAAATTATGTGAACTTGTGTCAGCATATTATAAATACTGTAAATGCCTGCCTCTTTAATATAGTACTCTGATTATACAGTGTTATGCCAAAATATTATCACTCAATGTGAATACATGGGTTAATCCAAAAGTCACAATCACAACTGCTACAAAATTTTGAAAAATCAGAAGTTTTCATCTAAACATTACATATTAATGCTTTAATATATTTTGATGCTAATATAGATACAGTGTATATGAAATACATTATAAAATAAAATATTTTTAACAGAAAACACACAATGCTTGATTTGTTTTCACTTCACACTCGACATACCTTGGCCGATTCGTGTCTTATTTAATGTTTGATAAAGGTGATGGAACCAGCCAAGGTTTGCTGAATGTTTCACTTCAAATCAAGAATGTAGGGATGTCATTGTAATGTTTCTTGTTGATACTTTTTTGATTGATTGATTGTATGCATATTGTTTAACGTCCCTTTCGAGACTTTTTCACTCATTTTTATTTTTCACTCAGATGTCACCATATGCTTGTGAAGGGCTTTAAATTCATAGACCTATACTCGGTACTGAAGGCCATAAAGATGTGAGGGTTCGTTATAGTGCAAACGCCTTCCGTGACAGGATACCTAAGTTTTTAAGATCATATCTAATGCAAGCGCTTGGCAAAGGTACAGTCACTACCTATATTTATGTCTTAAGTTTGGCATGCCGCCCCACGCGCGCATACAAGAATTGAATCAGGGCCTCCTGATCACAAAGCGAACACTCTACCACTAGGCTACCATGACAGGTGATACTTATTTTGAATCTGGTGAAAAATTACATTTATTCAAAGAGGAATGCATGAATTTAGAAATAACATTTGGTCAAAGATCATATATTTCTGATACAGCAACCTATCAATAAATAATTTAAAGCACATTATGAAAAAGAACCTCTTGCATTGTTAAAAAAATATGAACTAAAAATGATTATCCAAAAGTAATGTCACAATGACATTGGTAACATTTTTTCCATGTGATGATAGACAAAACTTATGTTACATGTACTTTGGATCAACCTTTGTGTTTTCACCTGATGTTCTGAATAATAATGAATCATATAATGCCATGTTTACTTGACAAGTTTAAACTTACTGGATTTTTATCTGGATGTTTTGTGATGGCGAGTTTTTTGAATGCTTTACGGATTTCTTTTGCAGTTGCAGATCTCTCCACTCCTAATATATCATAGAAGTCCTCTCCAGCCAAAACCACAGACACAGAGAACAGAAACCAGACAAAAAATCTCCTCATCATTCCAGTTTACTGTCTGAAACAGAAAGAAATTAGAAATGTATATACATGTACTAAATATTTCTTTTATTTTAATCCTAATAGATTGAAAACATTTGAAAATACATTAGGAAAAATAGTATTATGAGTTTTAATAGTTCACAAAATTGCCCTTTTCATTTAATTTGAAAAATTAACATACTCAATGTTCATTAAGTTTTAAAATACTTATAAATGTGTAGGGCTGGGTATTGGCCCGAGATTTCGTATTGCGATATATTGCGATATTTTTAACTGTATTGCGATATGTATTGCAATATTTTCAATGTCTTAGAAATGGCATTTTCTTATTTTTTTTACTTTAATTTACATGCAGAATGTACATAACTATGATAAGTAACCAACACGAAAAAAAAAATCTTGTTGATTTCATTTAAGTTATGCCCTGAAATGTTCCCACAAAACAACTTCTGACTTATTGTTTGGCTTAATAACAAACTTTCACAAGTCCATTTTTATATTTTATGACAAAATTCCTTAATCTAAAAATATTGCCAATATATCGATATTACAAAATCGTATTGCGATTCGATATTTTTTGTCATTGTATTGCAATATATTGAAATATCGATATTATTGCCCAGCCCTATAAATGTGTTACCTCAATCATCAAATCCTCAAATAATTTCTATAGCTTTTAATTCTATACATATAAAACGTACAGTACTATAATTATACATATCATAAATAAACTAATACACTCCTCCCAATCGCATCAACTCAGGTCTTTATGTCAATTAAAGTTCAATTCCATATATACTCCACAAATAAGAGGTAAATTATTTTGAAACTTTTTGTAAAAGGAGGATTAAAGTGTCATGGCAATGGCATCTATGTTATACTTTCTCAGTTGTTCTTTCGCTGGTTAGAATGGCCTGAGAAGTTACTATTGTCACTAATCCTATATGAAATCAATTAGTTCTGTATTTATGAGCCACACTATCTGCTATTAAGATTAGTTTATGCCTTTAATTTATTGTGTTTTAATATACACCCCCCCCCCCTTCATAGAAATTAAGCCATCAACATCTCAAAAGAGAATAAAGCCACACATATCGACATACATATTCAGTATATTTAACATATAGTACTTATATAAACAGATTTAGCTGCCATGTCTAAACTGACTAAAGTCACTATAGTCTATAACACATAGGTTCAGTTGTAAAGATACATGTAGCCTAGCTGATACTGATGCACAACTCTACAAAAATCTTTTTTCTTAATTGTTGTGTATTTAAGTTCAACGAATTAGTAAAGCTCTCTTAATTATTAAACTTTAGGTATTGAATTGTGTAGAAAAACTTCAAAAAGGAAACTGTTAGCTGTTGTTAGACAGTCTTCATCAGTTCATGCAGGTGGTTTCTGCTGATCCAGGTAATAAAGATGAATTGTACTTAAATATTCTTCTTCATGAAGCACTAAAAGCATACCTTTCATTCACCATTCAGTCTGTCATTGGCATCTCACTGCCGCATTTAACTTTACATTGATTAGATAAGTTTACATGTGGGTGACAGATGCTAGATGTAGGAAACGTCAACACGTGTATTTGCGCATGCGCATTACATAGTACGAATTATTTAAAGCACAAATTAGCTTATTACGAAAACCGAATCATTGTTGGCCGAGTTAACATTATTTAGAAAAAAAAAATCATTTTGTTTTTTATTTGGCGATTTATTGAACATTGATAGATTTCAAATGGAGCTACAAGATGAATTTTATAATAATGCCGAGTATATAGAAACGGTATGTATTAGTGTTATTATTAAACTCTTGTTTTAGTTTTAACCATGATTGTTTTCCGAAATGACGTAGCTCGAATTTTCTCTATTATTAAGAATAAAATGAAATGCAGTGATCAAATATTACATTTGTGACAGTTTACAAAAGATTATGTAACCTTTTAAATATACATTACCACTACCTTTTTATTACAGGCATCGGGAAATAAAGTGAGTCGACAGTCTGTTTTGTGTGGAAGTCAAAACATTGTTATTAATGGAAAAGTAAGTGACTGTTAATGTTATTGAATAAGAATTAAGATTTTATACATATTTAGGTCTTCCCTCTATTTTATGTTGACAGTGCATTTGTTAGGGTGAGTGCAGACAGTGCTAGTTTAAATGAAGAACATTTTATTTACTATATATCTGTAAAAGATCCATTTAATATCCCGACACGTTTATTATTTGTTGAACTTTTGTTGTTATTCTCAGGAGAACATGTATTCTTTTATTTTGTAGACTATAATAATGACAGATTGTGTGATTCGTGGAGATTTAGCCAATGTGCGAATTGGAAGACATTGTGTTGTCAGCAAAAGAGCAGTGATAAGGCCACCATTTAAAAAATTTAGTAAAGGGTAGGTGTATATTATACAGGTTTAGATGTACGCGACGTTACAGGGCATGTTAGACCTTTCTTTTTTTTTTTTTAAAAAAATGTATGCAAGAATTGAGAATAAAATATACAATTGTACAAGACTCCACTATACATTCAATTCACTGTGCAATATTTAATTAATTTACTCTTTTCAGTGTGGCATTCTTTCCTCTTCACATAGGAGATCATGTGTTTATAGAAGAAGATTCTGTTGTAAATGCAGCACAAGTTGGGAATTATGTTCATATAGGGAAAAATTGTGTCATAGTAAGTCTCCTGATCTCATATTGTGCATACATAAAAGTGCATTTTACAGATTATGGCTTACCTAATAGTTGAATTTTCAGAATATTATCTAGGATATACTTATTTTCTCCCCTTGGAAACTGTTTGCTGTGTGTAAAATGTTAAACAAAGAGGAAGGCATTCAATGTCAAATCTAGTTATCACAAACTTGATGGAACCAAGAAAAAATAACGATTTTTTAGAGTTTGAGATATTGATAGATTCTCAAATACATGTACTTTAAGGAAAAGGTAGACAGGAATTCCAAAAATAATCCATGTAATACGGTTTTTGATAAATATGAAATATTGATATTAAGAAATAAGTTTAATACTACTCATGTATAACTTGACAATTTCTTTTAACAGTGATTCATGTTCCTGCATAATCTATGTACTGTAGTAACAGCACTAAGTTTCTGTTATAATGATTTGCTCTATTTTATAGGGCAGGCGGTGTGTGTTGAAGGATTGCTGTGCTATTGCTGACAACACAGTTCTCCCCCCTGAGACGGTGGTCCCTCCCTTCACTGTGTTCTCAGGCTCACCAGGTTTGTTCTTGTTACTTCATAGTTTAATTATCATCATCTACTGCATGAAAGAACAGATTTATTTCTGAAATAGAAAGGTTTGTTGATTGCATGATTGTATATTTGCTTCATGTAGGACGATTTACTGAAGAGTTGCCAGAATGTACTCAAGATTTAATGGTTGATGTGACTGTTAGCTATTATCAGCATTTTAAGGCAACACCGTCCAGTAAATCCAAAGACAGACACAGATAGTAAGTAAGCAAATATTCTGCAGTTAAGTGTAGATTTAAATAATTAATTGATACCTGTTACTCTCATAGCAAAAGAAATAACATACTAGTATTATATATATATCATTCTTCCTGATCTTCAATGTTTGTATTTTAATTTTCAGGTCCCAGAGTGAAATGAACAAGGACCATGATCTAGTGCAATACATGTATATCATTATGAACTTTATTTATTAAATTGTGCTTTGCCTTTTTCATTTACAGTCACTGTTACAGCTTCATTCACACATGTAAATAGTAGAAAACATAACAAAAACTAATAAATATGAAAACTTGCATCTTCAAATTGTTTTTTATCATATGCATTGGTCAGAGACCAGAAAAGCTTATGGTAGAGTGTATCCTTTGTTTGTTTGTCTATAAACATTTTTTTTGCCTTATGTTCGAAGAAAAGATGGCTTTTTTTTTCTGTGTGAAAATCCGACATTATGTTAATATATTAATATTAACCTTCCTAATAATTTTTAAACCTAAAAAGTTTGAGAGAAAATATTTGACAAAGTTATACATTCATATGAGAGGTTTAATATTTAGCAAATATATTTTCTGCTATTCATCCAAGCAATCTTGTCGGTCATATAATTATACTTCACACAAAGGCTGCTTATGACTGGTGTCTCAACCTTGACCCAAGTTCATTTAAAGAAGTACTTAAAAGGTCACTGTCAAAAAATGTTTCATTTTGTCCTGACCTTGTCTTGAAATAGAGAAATTTTGAAAGCTTGTACATGGCATTAAGATTACCAATAACCTGTGAGTGGGTTATGACCTTGACTCAAAGGCCATTAAATCAAAGTCTTTATTTTAAATTATGGACACAAGGGTTAGCTTGAGCTTAAGTTGGGAGAAAATTGGGTAATTCATGCAATCAAGGAAAACATAAATAACCAGAGGTTACAGAGCTCATTTAATTAATGTTTCTTTTATTAGGTAAGAAACACAGAATCATTGATCTATATTAAAATTTTGTTTTCCTTTTCAATTATGCCTTTTAGCAGAACTTAGAAATAACAAAAATTGAAATAAAACTTCATTTATTTTGCTGTGCATCCATAGCAATAACACTTATATTGTATATGCAAAAATTGGTCAGGTAACATATAACAGTGAAAAATATGTCATAGGATTTCAGTGTCCTGATATGAAATATACAAAAATCAAATAATTTATCACAGGAATGTTGAAGCTTTTTAAATATTCAGTAAAATAAATCAATAAGTAACTGTGACTCCTGTTACAAAATAAACTCTGTAGACAAAGAAAAATGTACAATTATAATTATGCTCTTCCATGCTTTGAGCATGTATATTCTGGAATGTCCAGTAAAAAGTTAGCTTAGTTTTGTTTGATCCTTCTCTTAACACTAGAACATAGATTATTTATATCCTTCTCTGCTCCAGTTAGACCTTTATATTCTATCTTATTAATGATCAGCTTGTAAAACAGGAAGAAAGCCACCAGTAAGGTCAAGGTCACAAAAGTAACGGCCCTGGCGATGACGACTAGATGACTGCTCTCTCTCTCCATCTCCGTACACCAGAAGCCATACAGAGCGATAGTACACACCACACACAGGACAGTGTAGAAAAGGTTGTCAGATTTGGCTTTCTTCAAGCCATTCTGTACAATGGTCGTAGACTCCAAGAGAAGATCGTACAGTTTGTTCTCATCTCTTGTATCCGGAGATTGTCCAGAATCTGTAATGATAAAACATCTGATATTGGCATTTAACAACACTTAAGCTGTTCAGATATCAGATAGTATGTTTGTCCAAATTTTATTTCCTAGACAGCTACATACCTGCATTTTGTATTTAACAATTAATTTAAAAGATGTCTCCTTTATTTCAAGGAAATCTATAGTAGCTAGTTTGAAAATCCAGTGACAAGACTTAAAAACACATGTAGATGACATTAAAGAGTTGTGCCCCTTGACAGAATGACATTAAAGAGTTGTGCCCCTTGACAGAAAATTATCAGTAGTGACCCTCTTTTTATACCCCCCGCTTGAAAAGTGGGAGGGTATATAGTAATCGTTAATTCCGTCCGTCCGTCCATCTGTTACGCTTTGGGGTACCCATCTCTTATCTGCAACTCCTCTTACACCACTGAATGAAATTTGATGAAACTTTCACAGAATCTTTATTACATATTGCCATTGTGCACCTCCTATTTTACTTTTTGATCCAACACATATTTTTGGTTTCCCATAGCAAAACATGGACACTGCCATTTATACACATATGGGAGGCGGGGGGTATCATTTAGTGAGCCCATTGCTCACAGTACCTCTAGTTTTCTAAAGTCAAGATGTTTAAAAGACTTGACTTTGAATGTACCTTTTTTCCTCTGGATTTGTAGGAGAGCTGTGACTCCTTCATGGTCAGAGTAGTTGTAGGGCTTGTCTGGAATTTTCCCAAAGTCAAGTTTACAGCTGGACACCTCTACCTCCACTCCTAAAAGTACAAACATATTCCCAATGTACAGGTATTAAAGTATGAGAAATTAACACTGACAGGGCATTGTCAAACAAAGTCATTAAAGCTCATTCCTATCAGTTAAAAAATCTGTGAGTAGCTCAAATCTATGAATGCTACACTCACTCACAGTCATTATCAGATGCATTTCATATGCAGGTCTGGCATGGGCCCAGCCCATCCATTCAATGTTCTGCCCTCATGATAAAAATGACCTCTTCAAAGCGACCCTCTATAAATCTTTAATCCTGTATTCATGTACTAGCATTATCTCAATTATTAATTTTGTTTTTCAAATATATATTAACTGAAAAATCTAGAAGTGTTCATTCTCCTATATAAACTATTCAAATAGACAGAAAATACTGTATGTATACATAATTTGGCATATTCAAAATTTAGCGTAATCACTGGGTTTGAAGTTGTTGGCGTGATAGTAAATTAGCGCTACACATACTCATTCAGTGTATTGTATATGTAAATGATTCTTAGCGGTATTCATGAACTAGCACATTGTTGTCAGCGCCAAAGACGCTAAAATATGAATCCCATTTTTTAAATAAAGTACACATACAGTAGTTATGATGAATTCTCCAATTAATTTTTGCACTCAACAAATACTTACATATTACTGTACCATTAATTCAGATATCTAGGAGTTAAATTTTGGTTTTTGACTTATGATTACTGGAAAAACCAATATCTTTATTGATGATGAAATTTATTTCTTCTGAAAATTCCAATGATTATCATTGACAAAAGGTGGGACATACATTCTAAAGATTCTTTCATGCAGGAAATGAACATTTAATTAATGTCAAGTTCTAGTGCTTTAAGATTTTTGTTCAAATTTATTATTGCACATGTAATAGGTTAACTATAATCTCTTGAAGACTTTATGTGGTAAGCTCCTTTGGATTATTCCTATACTGGTACAATGTAATTTTATTGACCTATGAACCTGTACTGACCTTGGTTGACCTTATACAGGAGGTAATCTAATCGCCTTCCAACTGGTTCCAACCTCTGAACATTGTGTGTACTGAAGCTGTTATCTTTTCTCTCATTAGTGTGACCTGATTCATTCTCTTCATTCTACATAAAAGCAGGAAATGTCTGACAATACAAATCATACTGAATGAAAGAAAAAGTGAGCAAGCTCACATACCCCATGCTCCCCCAAAACTCAAAGTGCTGAAAATCCTGGAAAAAATGAAAGAATCGAAATTTCCCGGTAATATGCACATCTACAAATTGTGTCCTAAATATCTGCAAAGTTTGATGAAATTCTGTGCAGCGGTTTATGAGGAGTTGCGCTGACAAACTGTTCATCACTATATTCAAGATATCCCCAAAAATCTAAGTTGTAAAGTGCCGAAATTCCCAGAAAAATAAAGGATTCAGAATTTCCTGGTAAAATGCACATCTATACATTGTGTCCTAAATATCTGCAAGGTCTGACGAAATTATGTGCAGCAGTTTATGAGGGGTCGCGCTGACAAAATGTTCATCTGTATATTCAAGGTATGGCAAAAAATCTAATTTGAAAAGTGTCAAAATTCCCAGAAAAATAAAGGATTCAGATTTTCCTGAAAAATAAAAAAATCGGATTTTCCTGGTAATATGCACATCTACACACTTTGTCCTAAATATCTCCAAAGTTTGACGAAAATCTGTGCAGCGGTTTATGAGGAGTTGCGCTGACAAAATCTTCATCTCTATATTCAAGGTATGACCAAAAATCTAATTTGAAAAGTGTGGAAATTCTAAGAAAAAATAAAGGAATCGGAATTTCCTGGTAATTAATATGCACATCTACACATTGTGTCCTAAACATCTTTAAAGTTTGACAAAATTCTATAAAGCGGTTTATGAGGAGTTGCGCTGACAAACTGTTCATCTCTATATAAAAGGTATCGCCAAAAACCTAAGTTTTTAGTGCGGAAATTCCCGGAAAAATTTAGGAATCGGAATTTCCTGGTAATATGCACATCTACATATTGTGTCCTAAATATCTCCAAAGTTTGACGAAATTCTGTGCAGCGGTTTATGAGGAGTTGCGCTGACAAACTGTTCATCATTATATTCAAGATATCCCCAAAAATCTAAGTTGTAAAGTGCCGAAATTCCAAGAAAAATAAAGGATTCAGAATTTCCTGGTAAAATGCACATCTATACATTGTCCTAAATATCTGCAAAGTCTGACGAAATTCTGTGCAGTGGTTTATGAGGGGTCGCGCCAACAAAATGTTCATCTGTATATTCAAGATATCCCAAAAAATCTAATTTGAAACGTGCCAAAATTCCCAGAAAAATAAAGGAATCGGATTTTTATGGTAATATGCACATCTACATATCGTGTCCTAAATATCTCCAAAGTTTGACGAAATTCTGTGCAGCGGTTTATGAGGAGTTGCGCTGACAAACTGTTCATCTATATAGTCAAGGTATGGCCAAATGCCCAAGTTAAAAAATGCGGAAAATATCTGCAAAGTTTGATGAAATTCTGTGCAGCGGTTTATGAGGGGTCGCACTGACAAAATGTTCATCTGTATGTTCAAGGTATGGCCAAAAACCTAAGTTGAAAAGTGTGGAAATTCTAAGAAAAAATAAAGGAATCGGAATTTCCTGGTAATATGCACATCTACACATTGTGTCCTAAATACCTGCAAAGTTTGACGAAATTCTGTGCAGCGGTTTATGAGGAGTTGCGCTGACAAACTGTTCATCACTATATAAAAGGTATGGCCAAAAACCTAAGTTGAAAAGTGTGGAAATTCTAAGAAAAAAAAGGAATCGGAATTTCCTGGTAATATGCACATCTACACATTGTGTCCTAAATACCTGCAAAGTTTGACGAAATTCTGTGCAGCGGTTTATGAGGAGTTGCGCTGACAAACTGTTCATCTCTATATAAAAGGTATGGCCAAAAACCTAAGTTGAAAAGTGTGGAAATTCTAAGAAAAAATAAAGGAATCGGAATTTCCTGGTAATATGCATATCTACACATTGTGTCCTAAATACATGCAAAGTTTGACGAAATTCTGTGCAGCGGTTTATGAGGAGTTGCGCTGACAAACTGTTCATCTCTATATAAAAGGTATGGCCAAAAACCTAAGTTTTTAGGCGGAAATTCTAAGAAAAAAATAAAGAAATCGGAATTTCCTGGTAATGTGCATATCTACACATTGTGTCCTAAATACCTGCAAAGTTTGACGAAATTCTGTGCAGCGGTTTATGAGGAGTTGCGCTGACAAACTGTTCATCTTTATATTCATGGTATGGCCAAAGGCCTACATTAAAAAGTGCGGAAATTCCCGGAAAAAAAGGAATCGGAATTTCCTGGTAATATGCACATCTACACATTGTGTCCTAAATACCTGCAAAGTTTGACGAAATTCTGTGCAGCGGTTTATGAGGAGTTGCGCTGACAAAAAAAAGGACCGACTGACTGACTGACTGACACTCTTACGGACGGGTCAAAAACATTATACCTCACGCAACTAGTTGCGTGGGGTATAAAAACATTATACCTCACGTAACTAGTTGCGAGTGGTATAATAACTGATTTATCTCAATTGATAACTTGTAGATTGATTACAATTACATGTATTATTACTCTCTATGTTTTAAATGTTAGGTTTCCTAAATTTCAAATCCGCTCACTCCATATTCTGTTATTCTTAATTCTCTAAAGATAAACAAATCATGCACATTTTTTTTATATTGAGTAACCATTATATAGTGGGGTTCCATAGCCGCTGTAAAATTTAGCTTTTTGCTTGCTCAAAGGTATGCCAATAATTTTGGTGGACACACAGTTCCATGATGTGTTAAGAGTAAGTTAACCTTACAGATGCTTTTTCAATATGTTTAATATCCCACTATACAGTATAAGTTTCTGTATCTCCGAGTATTCCAACTAAAAACATATTATGTAAAACACATAACTGAATTGTTCTGGGTGCCACTTGGTGCACAATTTTAATGGATGTAAGGGAAGCTGATGAATGTGAATACACCCTCCCCACGGGAGTATAATAAGCTGTTGACAGTCTTAATTCTATAATCTGTAAATATAGGTTTAGTGCTAAATTACTGACTAGTGTTCTTTAATGATTCTGCCCTCAGAATCTCCATTCCATTTGGATAAGTGCTTGGGTATCTTGACAATATTAAGCCTAAATGCTATTGAATACTGTCATTACAAAGCACTTTAAGCTTATTGTTTTGACAATTGGAAAAATCTGATTAAATATTCCCACAGAAATTAAAGATACATGCTGCATGAATCTAATTTCATTCTGAGAATTGAGAAACAAAGAAATCAGTGGATGAAAATACTGACTGCTAGAGTTCTAAAAGTTAGAAACATCACATAAAAGTATAAATGATATACATGTGTAAGGTATTCAATATTTTGAAGTTAATGCATTTTTCATACTAAAATTTCTGTTACACTGTAAACATTACGGGAAGAATTTTCTTAATGATTTTTAAATGGAATATTGATTTGAACTATAAATACAAGCATCAACAAAGTTTTGCCATTTGAACCAATAAATCATACCTTTGCAAGCCAGCAGTCATGCAAATTGCCATTTGTCATAATCAATTTGTATCCCAGGTCAGAAGGTCGGAGGTTAAAGTCACCCCCGACAATGACTACATCACATGATTCTGAGGTGTACTTGATGAACTGACTCATGTCAAAAGCCTGAGCCACACGATGAGCAATGTATTCATCTGAGGCCATGTCGTACTCAGCATGTAACTGGAATAAGAATTCAAGAGTTCTCAAAAGGGTTAATAAAATCTACATGTATGCTCAGTGGGATGAATCCCTCAAAACTCTACATTAATTATTATTACATCAATTAATATTCTAATAAATCAAAAACAAAAAGCAAAGATCACTAACAATTTTGATACAATCATGAATCAATGAAATCAGGATTGTATATCAGCCTAAATGGCCCCCTATTAGCCTTAGGGCCAGGCCTAGGGTCCAAGGGCTAATATGCGGGGCCTTAATTGGGCTGATACAACATATGATGTGGATTTTAGTACGAAAATTAACTTAAAATTGAATACGTGAGTTCCAATTACATTCATTAATTCATCCCAAACGCAGAATGTTCAGTGCGTATAAACATTATACATACAAGCATTATTGATGATTAAAACTAAAATCATATAGCTGATGCTATGTGATTTTGTGAAAACTAAAATTTAAAGCAGGGACATACAGGCAACCAGATGAAAATGAAAGTTATTCTATATTTCTTTATAATGAGTAGCTGTGTAAAAAGATAAACATATACATGTACTATAACTGTTTTGTCCCAGTTTCAAAACAGTACATCTAACTCAGTCGATGATGACTGTTTTTCAACAGATATAAGATGCATTTAGACACATTTTCTTTATTCATTTCTTATATTCCTACAGGTAAATGTATAGAGCAATTACACAAGAGATTATAGTATTTCTTTGGCAAATGCCCCTAATTAACAGAGAATTTAATCCCCGTAACCTGAATGTGACCAGAAAATCTCAAAGAAATAGATAGGTGCCTACACAAGAGATTTGAAACCGTATCATCAAAAGTAAGGCAATAATTCTGTACAAAAATACCTTTCAAATGGTATATAATGATTGTACTATTAATATCTGTATACTGTAAATTCCTTATTATATGCGAGGAATTTATTATCAAATAATTTTGTGAGAGGCAAATAATAAATAAAATTACTCGCTTTTATTTTTATGGTGCTGTATTACTGGTAATCCATGTAAATTCTCTTGATCAGCCATCCATTTGCGAATAATAATTCTCATGATTTGGGGTTAAAAAGCAATTTCACAATGATAAGTACTTGTAAAAAATAAGGAATCTACAACTTCAACTAGACTATCTATATGTTGCAAAAATTTATTTTTTAAGGTGATTATAGACATATTTTCTAGTTTCTGTTCTTTCCATAAAACTAGAAAACAGATCTAGGCTCACTGGTTGCAGTATTGACTTAACTCTTAAATAATGATACTCTAGACCTGTTAGTTTTGTAACGGGAGAGGAGAATATGCAGCGGACCAGACCAGGATTTGAACCCATGCAGGCCCCCTGAAACTCCAGTCAGGTGCTCTACTGACTGAGCTATCTAGTCACTGGTAATCGAACTCTGTTGACCGCCACCGTTTCAAATACATGTTAATGTTCATTGAGGAGAGTTTGATGTAATTTTACATTGAAGCAATGCATACTTACATGTGTGCAATAAATGTTGAAACTTAAGCCTTGAAAGGTCACTCTACAGAGCCCTAATCCCTTTCCACCAAACCAGTCCCCATGCTGGACCTTGTGAAAGTAGCCATTTAATGGGAACAAATGGTAAAATGAATCCTCAATGATGAGCTTGGAGAAGACACAGACACCACTACCAATGGTCCCACTTTAACATTATATCAATTGAATTAGACATGATTCAAATGTTGTTCTAAAAGATTACTTTGTACTGCAAAATTTTGTACTGTACATAAGCTAAGACTCATTTAATTATTCAGTCAATTTGTTTTCTACAAGGATTAGGCCTACAATAAAATTAATATTTAGAAAATTCATCTTTTATTATCAAGTATGAACTGTATGAAGTAACATTTTTAAAATATACACTTGTGTAATAAAAAAGTTTTCTATAACTTACATCATAGGAACTCAACTCTACCTTTGAAAATAATGAGAATATGGCATCACCTTCAATATATGCTGTTGAAGAAGTTTAAAATCACTTTCAGTCCACACCTTTATACAAAAATAAAACATCAGTATTAAATCTAGTAATATAAAAATTTAATGCCGTAAATGTAAAAAAAAAAAAATACCACAATGCCAATCAATACAAAAGAGCCGTACTATACTTTGGATATTGTGGGTGGAAATAGATATCTTGGTCAGTTCACACAAGATATTTATATGGATCAATTTATTTTGCATGCACATTGTGTTAAGTTAACCAAGTAAAAATAATTTTAAAAGTTGAAGAGAATTCAGAACAATAATGGCAAGGGAAAAAAATATACAGGACCAGTCTATGATTTAAACAAGTCCCACTCTCCCTTCCCCCAGAACTCTTAACAGAACTCTAGACAGGTGCCCTGCGAACTAGACTAGATATATAGATCAATCTGCCTGACCACCATATCCCCCCTCCCTATAAATGTTTCACCGTAAAGACACCCACCCAGCTCTTCCCTTATCTGTAACATCCACGGTGGAAATGTGACCAAGCACTCCTCTGCATTTAAAAATATTAAGTTTTTCAATGTTACTTGAAATAGAAGAAAAGTATCCCCTGAAGTATAACAAATACCATACCTCCTGCAGTACATGTATAACTATATCATACCTCCTGCAGTGTAACTATATCATACCTCCTGCAATATAACTATATCTGAATCATACCACCTGCAGTTTAACTATATCATACCTCCTGCAGTATAACTGAATCATACCTCCTGCAGTATAACTATATCATATCTCCCCTTTCCAATCTCCTCTGCAATAGCCTGAAATCTCTCTTTTCTGTACTTGCATGCGAAAGGCACTGGCACACCCCTAAATGTATATCAAGAAAGTATAAGGAAAATGATATGAATGTTTAAAAAAAAGTGAGTTTTTACACAGGAATCTGCACTTTGATCATCACTCTACTGACCAAGACATGAACAGCTGATGAACTTAGCTGCAGATCTGTAGCTGGTTGGTCTTAAAAAAATTATGATGAAAGACCAGAGAGCTCATGACACCCATTGAAAAAAGTGTGTATTTATGCACACAAAAACTGACAAAGAGTACCGTTTCTTGATTTATTTCTCAGTATATTTTACATTTGTTGACTATGTTCAAGGCCAATCAAGGGCAACTTGCATTTTGTTGGACCAAAGAAACAAACTGTTTGTCTGCCTGAGGCTGTTCAGGCAGACAGTTTGGTTCGAGGGTCGACAAAGCGCATTTTGCCTGAGAGCACTAGCTGAGTTTTGTTATACTTTCTATTTTGACATTTTTTGACATGTATCTTGTAGTTGTCTTCCGTGATGTAACCTCAGGTCTGTCACTTAATGAAACACCAACGAATGCAAATGAGATTAAACCCCACCCATTGTGTGACGTAAGCGGTCCAACATCTCATCAACAGGTCCAACATCTCACTCAGCGGTCATAGATTTTTTTTATCCCCGTTCAGTAAAACATTAGAAATGTTAAGACTACAGATCTGCAGCTAAAGATGAGCTCATATCGGTCATGGCTTGGTCAATCAAATGACTCTGTTGACTTCATTGATAAAATTGCGAACTGCCTTAGTTCATATTTACAAGTGATTTAAACAGTCATTAAACATAGAATTATTAAAACAGAAAGTAGCTACCAACAAGGCAACAACTGATTATGATTGAGGAAATGCGAACTAGAAAAATATGTATTAAATCAGAAATTACTATATGCAACACACAGGCATACCAGCAATTCAGTGTCAAAACCTGCAATGAAAATTTTGCGTCTTCCATCGTAAGGATACAACCAGACGCAGCTCCGACTCCGAGGCTCGGAAGAAGTCGATCGACGGATGTTTACAATGATTGATTAGTAGTTGATCTGAAGACAGCCTAAATTCCGGAATACTTGAACGAAAGGCCCATGGACCACAATGCTCACCTATGCATATTTTCCTTGTGGTTGACTTATTTTGACCCTAAACATTAACACACTTTGATCAAGACCCCCTTTCCTTATCTATAAACTACAGAAGAGTTATTACCAGGAAGGGAGACAAAACAGTCAAGAGGGGGAGTTGGAGGGTGAAAACAAGTTGAAATAAGCACACTGAGACAGTACAGACACCTGGGGCTCGTTTCTCAAAAAGGCCTACGACCAGGCGTAAGCTTAGTCCGGACTAAATCAGTGACTAAACCCGGAAGTCGGACTAAATTGCGTTTCACAAGAAGGCGGAGACTTAGTCGAGACTTAATTTTGGTTTAAATCTAGGCCTGCTCATGAGTAGGCGTAAGTGCTTAGTCTGTACACAACTTTGAAAAAGGGCAAGTGTTTTAATCAAAAAGAGTTTTTAAAAAATATTTCTTATACATATGCGATATAATAACTATTCATATACATGCACACAATTATAGATATGCAAAAATTATGAAAATTAACAAACAACATACATTGTATATTATCATCCATCGATTATTTTTCGCAAAAGGTGGGATGAACTAGAAATTTGTTATTAAGAATTTTGAATTCTAGTTGGGTAAGATTTTAAGAAGTGCCAGATTTTATTTTTTAAAAATGTAGGCACGCGTTGTCGTGGTGGTGGTGGTGGGGGGGGGGGGCTGCAACCCTCCCGTTTTTTTTATTACAATAATGCGTTTTCTGTTTTAAAAAAGGTACATAACTTATGGGCTGATTCCCACATTCAGCAAATTCTCTTCTCGGCTGAATATTTTGGTCACTTAATTACTTAACCCCCTCCCATCCCCATTCACTTTTTAAAAACGATGCCAGATTCCGGATATTTTTTGTTTGTTTTGAAATGGATAATGTTTCAATAAATCCTCAGACAATATTTATTTTTTAAAAATATACTTTAAATAATAAGAAATATTCGGTAACTATGCCATCAACCATGTCAATGCTTCTTTAATTTTCCCCTTTAATTGCATGTCTTTAAATATAATATTTATTAAAACATAAAAATTTGAATTTGTAAAATGTTTAGTATTATACTTAAAGTATTCTGTTCATAAGACTGTTCATTCATTGTCGAGAGATGAGAAGTGTAGATGGGTTAATCGTTTTTTCTTAATGGCTTGCAAAAGCTTAATAGTTTTAAATCGAATTCTTGTGAACCATATTACAGGTAATAAATCTATTAATTATTATAAATTACTAAAACATTTCCATTCAAATTGAGAATTTGTGTGTTATAATGCAAATGGTGCATGTATATGCATATGTATTTCTACATGGCCTATGTAAATTACCATGACGATATCAGTGTAAAACTATGTCCAAAATATAATACATGTATCGTAAATGCAGGTACATGTACATGTATCACCTTGGTTTCCAATATATGTCTAATTCATACTGAATAAATTGATTGAAATTATTAAGAATTATATATGGTATGGGCCATTTTAGGCCCCATTCAGAAAGTTTTACATGTGTAAATTTCTTTCTTGATCAAGGCGTCGCATGTATATCAAATCGTCGCTTACTGTGTGAAAATTGTCATTTTTTGAAGTTTTGTTTAAAACTAAGGCACTTGAAACCTTTAATTTTCTGCATATTACTTAAATCAATATATCAATATAAAGATAAAAGAAATATGTAAATTTTATCATTTCAAAAAACATAAATTTCATTGAGGTTCATTGACGTCTAAATTTTACCAAAAATAGGAGCCAAGGAAAACCATATATAGGTCTTTAAGACAACTAATCATTTAAAAAAAAATCTCTTATCCATGTTTTAATTTTATGATGATTATGATTTCATAACTGATAAATTTTTGACAGTACGCCTGTTGGTCGGGGGCTCTGTCCCTTCACTCTCTAACTGCGTAAAGTATTTTAAATACAGAAAAAATTCCTTTAAATACTGGTTGCCCCCCCCCCCCCCGACTTTCAAAACTTTTGCTACGAGCCTGTTCCAGCCCCTAGCCATATATGGCTTTTACTCATAGGAAAATTACTTTTTATTCCAAATTTTCGCAAGTACATGTATTTATAATCATGTATGTCCTCCATCATTTGGTTTTCATGTAGATATCTAATAAAACACTTGTGGATGAAGAGAGGGAGACTGTGTCCAAAATTATAATAAAAGATTTACTCAGTCAGTTTTGTTAAGTGTGGCTGTGGGTGCCTACCCCAATCTGTCCCTCTTTTAAAGATTTCTGTTTCCGCTACTATGTTAATGCTTTGAACTTGAAAATACAGGGTTTGCGTGATAGATCTGTTTGAAAGACGGTGAAAAGGGAAAACATGCTAGTGTGCTCGTGCTTCCTGTGCTTTATATCCTTTATTTAGGTTCAAGTGTGATATTAATTTGATCCGCCTCATGTTATTGTAGTCTCTAAACCAAATAAAATACGATCTGCGCATGCTTAGTACCTAGCGGAGAGGTCTTAGTCTTAGACCCAGTCTTACGCCGCTTTCTGAAACTCGATTTAGGCCCGTCTAAATTTTGGCGTAACTTTTTTAATGGGACTAACTTAGGCCCAAATCTACGACTTTTTGAGAAACGAGCCCCTGAGTTTTTATCGATCAGTCGCTAAATTAACCAAATATCGAAAATCTCTACCCCCTCTATATTTAAATGGGTGCCCGTGAAATAAGTATATTTTTTTTCTTTTGTGGACAATATCCCTTTTTCATTTATAAATATACATATATGTATTTATACCCCTCTTTATGCTATAAATATTTTTTGTCAAATATTTTTTATATTATTAACACAAGTGAACTTGTGATAAAAAATTTATTAAACGAAAGTCAAGCAGTAAAAAGTAAAAGTTTATATTTTGAAAAATAAATCAAGTGAAGACACATAAAACAAAGACAGGTTATAACGTTCACACACGGACACACACACAAACGTTTTGGTAACTCGGAATAGTCCAGAGTAAAAACTGTATTTTCTTGATGACGGAATGTCCAGTGCATCTAATATTCACGTCCGGGATAGTCCACGGCGGATCTAAAACTGACTCTCTCACACAACATAAGGGATTCACTCAAACTTCAATTAACACATTTACGCAATTATCACACATACAAGTCGGACGCTCTTTGAGGTAGAGGATTGACACTAATTCCTTAAATAAATATTGAGTGACAAATTCCTTTTTACTGTCTAAACATTAATTGACTGATAAATAATTTTCGACATATGTTAAAAACAGGCATTAAAAATAATTCTTTTTATAAATTAAAATTCTGTTACATTTTAAACTAAATTTTGTAAAATGTAGTTTGTGACAATCCTTCCCCTCTCCGAGTAAGACTCTGTCCCAGAGTCTACAAATTAAAATTAAATTAATGAATAATATCCATGTAAAATTATGCTTTTAAATTATTTGAAATTTCAATTCATCTTGCAAAAAGTCACTGATGGTTCAATCTTAAATTAATATCCATAAAAGGTGGTATAATAGTCTGTCGGTATGGAAGGCTGTCGGGGACTGGATGAAAAACGTTGTTGTTGCGTAGGTTGATACACTATACGAGGATACGATAATGCGGGGTGGTTAGGAGACGCAGCATGTTGCTGGGATTGTTTATTAGTTTTCGGTTTCTTTTTCCTCGAGGATGCTTTAGCTTCTACGTGGTTGGGATGACCTGGCGGGTACCAAACTTTTCCTGTCCTGCGTGCTTCCAATGCTGGCATCTGTGTGGATGCGTCGCTGACGTCACTGGCGCTACAAGTATCCGTGTTGGTTCCGACACTTTTCTTCTGTAGAGGGATAGGAACAGTGGGTACTGGAGGCATCAACCTAAGAAAACTAAGTTGACGCTCCTTTGCTACGAGCCGATCTGCCACGGATTGATGGGCTCCTTTCAACTCAAATATTTCTGTGTCCATCCTCCCGATTTTCTTTTCTAGGGCCTTGTTCTTCGTACGCGCGTCTGCGAGTTTTTCCTCCAAGTCCTCAACTTGCACCTTTTTTCTTTCCTTATCGTCTTTATTCTTTTTCCACGCGGCCGAAAGTTTACTCTCTAAAGATGAAAGTTTTTCTTCCTTGCTCAAAATAGTTTTCTTTAATATTCGTATTTTATCCGTTAATGTTGTGCTCTTGCATTGTTGGTCACCGAAAGGCTTTGTAGATAGAGAGTTTATCGCGATTACAAACTCAGTCTGTGATTCGATGCCGTAAAACGGTAATTCCAAGGCGAATGAGCGTCTAGACTGAAATTCATTCCAGCGTTTCTGGTCACGTTCTGTTTTGTGGACTGACTTCTTTTTCACAATAAGTATAGTCACTTGCTTTGTATTAGAGTTCCTGCACTGTTTAGAAAGATGACCAAATTGCTGACATCTAAAGCACTGTCGATTCATTGCCTTACACTTGATAAGATGTCCCTTGTAAAATGATTCTCCACAGCGATAACACATTGAGTTTGACATTTTAAATCAAATTTGGGGAAAATAGCTGCACGGGTGAGAGTTTAGGTACCGAGATCTAGGTATTGCACAGGAAATGCAATACCCCCGGGTTAAATACCCTTTGGATACTCCACCAATTAACACAAGTGAACTTGTGATAAAAAATTTATTTAACGAAAGTCAAGCAGTAAAAAGTAAAAGTTTATATTTTGGAAAATAAATCAAGTGAAGACACATAAAACAAAGACAGGTTATAACGTTCACACACGGACACACACACAAACGTTTTGGTAACTCGGAATAGTCCAGAGTAAAAACTGTATTTTCTTGATGACGGAATGTCCAGTGCATCTAATATTCACGTCCGGGATAGTCCACGGCGGATCTAAAACTGACTCTCTCACACAACATAAGGGATTCACTCAAACTTCAATTAACACATTTACGCAATTATCACACATACAAGTCGGACGCTCTTTGAGGT